GGAGGGCATCAGTACCGTCCGGGGCCAGGCCCCGCCACATACTGTACTTACCCCACGACCCCAGGAGGCGCTGCAGGACTTCCTGGTGGACATGGTGGAAGGATGGGCAAGGCAGAAGGGTGGGTGAGCAAGAGGGATGGGATAGGGGAGGGATGGAGAAGTGGAGAAAAGAGAAAGAAGGAGAGGAAGAGGAGGAAGGGGGAGGAGGTATAAGTTGTAAGAACCTCCTCCTCCTCTTCCTCCTCCTTCTCTTCCTCCTCCTCCTCCTCCCTCTCCCTCTCTTTCTTCCCCTCCTCCTCTTTCTCCCCCTCCCCCTCCTCTCCGTCCTGGGGGTCTGGGGAGGTCCAGGGAGAGGGTCTTTCACGCCCAGGCTCTGTGATGCTACAAAGGACACAGCACTGCACCTCGGCCACAGCTAAGATGTACTACGGCAGGAGACGGCAACACTCACGCACAGAAGAGGCACAGGGGAGAACTCTGGAGGCGGCCAGGCAGCGGCTTCCAGACCTGTTCCCGACTAGCCACCAAGGCGGCGCTGGATTCCCCAGCAACACACAAGCAGTCAAGTGCGCCTAGGAAGCTCCTCGGGGGAACCCCCGGGACTGGTCTGGGGACACCAGAGGGGTGGAAACCCAGCCTGGCAGAATGCCCCCCGGGGTAGACCCAGGAAGGCCCTCGTGTCGGCAGTTTGAGGAGCCGCGTCCCTAGCCGCCGGCGAAGTCTAACCCCTGCCCCCACCCTCACCAGCTCCTCGGGTCCTGATTCCAGCAGCAGGTCTGCTCACTGCTCTGGTTCTGTCACTCCACTGCCAGCAAGTGCGACGGACGGGGTGGGCTTAGGTCTCCCGGCCATCCCCCCCACTCCCTTTCGAAGGGAGCCGAACCCATCTCATCCAGCCTTCTTGTCAGCCTGGCGCCCTGGGCCTCGTGAGGGCACTGTCCTGCCCCCGCACCTTGCTGAGGGCACCGGGCTGGGACCCCAAGGCCACTCTGCACTCAAGTCACCAACAGGCTGGGGAGTAAGGGAGCAAGCCAGGCTCCCTGCCATGGCCGGTGAGTCCCCAGACAGTGGGCCCCAGGCAAGCCCCCCTCGTAACCCCCCAGAGCAATGGTGACAGGGACTGTGGCCACAGCAAGGTCCGAGTGCTCAAACCTGATGCCCTCGGCGTCCCGGGCCAGCTGTCCCCCTACCCAGGCTCCCGATGGCAGCTCTGGCAACCACTCTGATGTCCCACCAGCCCAAGGAACTAAACAGACAGCAACGGCAGGTGCCCTAAATGTGGCCTAACGGCGAAGCCCACTCATGGGCCAGAGGCCCTCCCACGGGCCCCCCCACTTTGTGCGACACACCTGCTTTACTGAGACAATTCACGGAACACACGTCCCACCCCTCAACCTGTAGAGCCCAGGGGCCCCTCGTATTCTCAGTTAACGGGGCATCTGCCCAATCCAGAGCGTATCCAGTGCCCGAAGTCATCCCAGCCCCATGACCCCGGCCCTGGCAAGCGCTCGTCTACTTCTGCGCACGGGGACCTGCGTGTCCAGGACCGTCTCCTGTCGGGACTCTGCCACTGAGCACGTCCTCAAGGCTCATCTTGAGTGGCTCTGGCTGGCCACCATCCCATCAGGGACACTCACTGATCCACTGATGATCACTGGACCGTGTCTAGTTGGGGCCTTCTGGGAACACTTGTGCACGAGTGTCGCACGAACACATTCTCCGTTTTCTTGGGGTGTACACGTAAGAGTCATACTGTTTCGAGAAACTGCCCATTTTCCAAAGCAGCCACACCGTGTTACACGCCCACCGGCTATGCTCAGCACGCGGAGCTCCCCACGCCCTCGCCAGCACCTGGTCGTCCCCCGGGTTCTGCGGCGGGGGTTTTCACGGCCACCATGAAAGTGGTGCACCGCACTGCGGCTGCGAGCGGCACCTTCCCGAGGGCCAGCGACGCTGAGCATCCTCGCACGCGTTCACTGGACACAGGTGGGGCTTCGGAGAGAATCTACTCCCACTCTGTGACCAGTTTGCAACGGGGCCGCTGCCGTTTACCAGGGAGGTGTAAGAGCTCTGACGCTGCGTCTGAGTTCGGAGACGCACTAGTATCACCGCATGACTTGCTGTTCGTTGCTTTTTCTTAATATTCTTCCTTTTCTAGAGCGATTTTAGGTTCCCAGCAAAAACAGTGAAATCTACCTCTTGTCCCCACAACACACACGCACACCCTCCCCCCACCATCAACATTCCCCAGCAAAGGGTACACTCGCAGCTGACGGGACAGCTCCCTCTTGGTGCGCATATCCCATGGCTTTGGACAAACGTGTGATACCCACCCGTTATAGTATCACCCAGAATGGTTTCACTGCCCCAAAGATCCCACACACCGCCTGTTCATCCTTCCCACCCCCAGCCTGGGCAACCACAGACCTCTCCACGGTGCTGAGTGTTGCCTTTTCCAGAATGTTCTACGTTCGGAATCACACAGTATGCGACATTTGCAAACAGGCTTCTTTCACCTAGAAGCATGCATTCGAGGTCCCTCCATGTCCTCTCGAGGCTTGACTGCTCACTCTTTTTAGCGCTCCGTAATACCCCACCAACTGGGAGGACCCCAGTTTGCTTGGCCACCCCCTTCCTGAAGGGCGCCCTGGTTGCTTCCAAGTCTTGGTAACGAGGACTGAAGCTTCTAGAAACATCTGTGTGCAGGTTTCCATGAAGATGTGGGTTCTCAGCTCTCGGGGGGAATACCAAACAGCACGACTGTGGGCCTGCGTGGCGTCTGAGTGTGTTCTGGCCCCGTCACAAAAATATCATCCACTCTGTGCCTTATGAACAACGGAAATCTGTTTCTCACAGTTCTGGAGGCTGGAGGAGCGAGACTGGGGCACCAGGATGATCGGGGGAGAGCTGTCTTCCCTACTGCAGACTTTCTGCTGTGCTCTCACGTGGTGGAAATCCAGGAGCTCTGTGGGGTCTCTGTCTCTTTTTCTTTTTAAGAGAGAGAGCCCACGCTTGAGAGGAGGGAGGAAGCAGACTCCGTGCTGAGCGTGGGGCCCCACTACACAGGGCTCGATCCCATGACCCTGAGATCATGACCTGAGCCAAAACCAAGAGTCAGACGCTCAACCAACCGAGTCACCCAGGTGCCCAGGGGTCTCTTTTAAGGACACTAATCCCACCAAGAGGCCTCCACTCTCATGACCCAATCATGTCCCAAAGGCCCCACCTCCTAACACCATCCCCTTGAACGTCAGGTCTCGACATATGAGACATATGAACTGGGAGGACACAGCCATTAGGTCCATTGTCTTTGGTAAGAGTATGTTTAGTTTTGTAACAAAATGTGAAACTTTAAAAGCAGCTGCGCCATTCCGCAGTCCCACCAGCAACGGAGTAGACAACTGAGGCCAGAAACCAAACCAGGATGCGTAATAACCGCAAGAGAGAACAGCAACTGCACAGGGAAACGGAAAACCTAGAGGAAAAATTCCTTTCACCAAAATCCTTCCATAAGAGAAAATATCACAATCATGAAAAAAAAAAATAGCATAAAAAGGAACATTCAAAGCCAAAAAGGAGACCTCAGTAAGTCTAAGTGTGACGGCAGAAGGCAGGCCTCAGGAGAGTCAGAAGCGGACGCTGCGGGGACTCTCAGGAAGCAAAAAATCAGGAGATGGAAAGAAGCTGAGATGAGACAAGATGGGAAAAACAGGGAAAATCAGAAACCAGACTCAAAGAGCCAATATTCAAACCTGGGCATTTTGGAAAGAGATTAAGTGAAAGGATACGCCCAACCCAGGAAACAAGGACCCCAGCCTGAGGCCGGGGCTTTCAGGCGGGACCCACCATGGGCTCCGGCACGGAGGGAGACTCTCAGCGCCGGAAGATGTCAGACCCGCGGGCATAATGAAAAGCCAGCTTTTCGAAGTTAAAACAGAAATAAGAAAAAGGACAGAAGGAGGGAGAGAACAGAAAGAAGAAAGGAAGGCAGTGGAGGGAGGGCGGGAGGGAGGACTGACACCACAGGTCAACTTGTGGACTCAGAAGCCAGGGGAGCGAGGAGGCCGGAGGGTCCGCGGCGGCCCGCGACAGCAGGAAGCGGATTCTAACCACGGCCAGCCGGCGGGTGGGGGACACAGGACCTTTCAGACCCGCGGGGTCCGAATTTGCCTTCACCGCGCCAGCTCTCCAGGGCGAGCCAGGGCGCCCTCAGGGCAACGCGCGGACGGAGGAGCAGCGATAGGACTGCGCGAGGAGGACCCCGTTAATCTTCCCGGGGAGGGGGACACCCCGCAGACGGCCCCACGGCCGGTCGGAAGGCGCGGGGACCCGCCCGAGGGGTGGGCCGGCGGCAGAGACCGAGGCGGGCGGGGAGCGCCCCGGGGAGAGGCGCCGGACTCTGACGCGCTCCCGAAGCCGCACCCGACGACCACAGCCCGGGGCGAACCGCACGCAGCGGGGAGAGCGCGGCGGGAAGGGGCAGTAACCACGCACAGCCCTCAGGGGCGCGGGGCCCACCTCCCGCCCTCCCAAAACCACACGCCCGCACCCGCGAGCCGGAGACGGTGCGTGAGCCCCACGGCCGCGGCGGGAACGACGGCCGCGGCGGGAACAGCGCCCGCAGGACCAAGCACACCGCGCCTGCACGGCCGCACGACCCTGTGGGAACCGCTCCACCGCAGCCCCTCCGCGCGGGACCCGGGGCGGGATGCAGGGCGGGGCTGCGGACGCCCGGCCGTCAGCCCCGGGTCCCGGGGGCCTCATTCTTCCTGGTTCCCATCTTTCCCGAACTGCCCAGCACTCGCCTCTCGCCCCGCTACTTCCCATTTCCTAGGTTGTGCCCTCAGCAAAGATGGCACTCGGCCAGAGAGGCGGTGACTAGCATGACTTCCGGCTGTTCGCCCTCAGCAAAGATGGCAACCTGCCGGAAAGGGTGGGGGCACGACTTCCGGTCGGGCTGACCACGGCTAGGCTCGTTTCCGGCGGCGCTCCAAGTGACGTAGCGAGCGCGCCGCGCGGCGTGAGCCGAGGACGGTGCGGGGGCACATGGAGGTCAGCGGCGGCTCCCGCGGCTGCTGCGTATGTCTGGCGCGGGTGGGGAGGAGGATTCTGGGCGTGGGTCCTGAGGGCTGGAGGGCGCACCGGGATGCGGGGGGTCGGGGTCCCGCGGCTGGAGGCGGGGGACCGGCCGGTCCGTGCGTGCGTGCTCTGCCGCCGCCATGCCGCGTGGTGGCCGGCGGGCCCGGGTGTTCTGTCTGCCCCCGACGGCCGGGCTTCGGGGCTGGTGTTCGCCCGATCCAGCGGGGCCTCCGGACCTCAGCTCCGTCCCCAGGCCACAGGGCTGTCTTCCGTGGGGAGGCGTCCCCGCCGGCGGGCGCCGGGGGTGCGGGACGTCGCCTTCGGGCGCGTGTCTTCCGGAGTCTGGGCTGTGCGGTGGTGAGACCCGAGGCCTCGCAGCTGCGGTGCGCCGGCGAGCGAGGGAGGCGTGCGGCCCGGGGCCAGGCTCCGGGCAGCTGGGAGTCTAGCGCGCGCTCTGCTTTAGCAGGAGGGGAGGCCCGGGCACCTGCCGTGCGCCGGCCGCGGGGTCGCCCCGCGGAGCGAGACGGTCCGAGCGGCTGGAGGCCGCAGCAGCGGGATGTGCGACGGAGCCTGGGAGGAGCTGACGTGTCGCCTGGGCGTGGAGGCATGAAGGGTGATTTCCTGGGTCTGTGGCGTCGCGGGACAGCGGGGCCTGGGGGGGCGGGAGGGCAAGGCTGTGGGGTGTGGATTTTCCAGGCGCGGTCCGATGGAAAACGTCTCCCCCTGCGTCTCCCCAAGTCAGCTCTTCTAACTCTCGGGGCCTTTGAAGTGAGAGGGGCCCGGGGCCAGCCCCACCGGGAGGCCTGGGACGGCCGGGGTCTGGATTGTCGAGCTAAGCTAGCTGACTCCGGGCTGCCCGGACCGCCGCTCCGCAGCCCAAGCCCTGGCGCCCTGCGCTTCGGTGTTCAGTCACGTCCTTCACGGAAACCAAGTCTGTGAGGTTTTTGCTGCATAAAGCTCTGGCCCACGCAGGGACAGGCAGAGAGGAGAGGTTCCGGCTGGTGGGGAGGGTGGCCGTGCCTTTGTGGGTCCTGCTCTCAGGTGGGGAGTGGGAGCTCGCCCATCACCACTTTCTCTCTGTTGACCCTGCAGGGCTGTGGAACCACCTGCTAGCCGTCTTACCTGCCGGCCCCTGCCCCCAGCCCCCGGCCGCCATGGCAGCCCGCCTAGTGAAGCGATGCGCTTGCCTCCTAAGGGAGGCCACCCTTGTGCCCCCTGCCGCGGCTCCTGCCGTGGCTCCCGTGGGTCGACTAAGACTTGCCCAGGTCGGCCGCAGGACTCTGACCTCAGCTACCTCGCCCGGTTCGCACTTCCCACGTTCCTTGTCAGGGCTCCTAGAGAAGGAGCGCGTGTTCAGCGCCAGGCCGCAGCAGCAGGAGGTGGACCGGCTCATCGAGAAGGCCACCCGGCCAGAGGAGCTCCTGGAGCTGCTCGGTGGTGGTCACCGCCTGCACGAGAACCACGCAGCCCTCGTGCTCATCCAGCTCTCCCGCCTGCTCTCCGACAGGCCGGAACACAAGGCCTCACTCGTGCGGGATGCCCGCTTTCAGCAGCTTCTCCAGCTTGTCAGCAGCCAGGTGGGTTTCTGGAATGTTCTCTCAGGGCTCAGCGGGCAGAAAACAGTGGCACTGGAGTCCAGAGCAGCCAGCCGCTTTCCGTAGCCAGGAACCCTGTTGCTTGCCTAGCTCGTTACATCCTTTGGTCACTCCTCCGCACGGTCCCCTTAGCTGAATTGTGCTGTCCTTCTCTACCAAGCAGCAGACGGGACACGGGACACGGATGCGAAGGAAGCGAGCTGGTTCTTCCCCGTTTCCGGGTGCTTTTGCCCTGGGCAGGCAGTCCTGATCTGTGTGGCTCCCCTTCAGTGTCTGGCTCACGGTGGGCACGCCCCTGAAGCTGGAGGAGATACGGGGGCGGGGGCTGATGAAGGGTGCTGGGGAGCTGGGCTGAGCGTGGCCGTCATCCAGCTGGTCAGACCCTTAACACACGAGTGCAGAGGGCACCTGTCTGTGGCACGGGGGTGGGGCGACACACCAGCTCTTGGCTGTGGCCTCGTCGGCCCACAGTCCTCCCCTGGTCCGCGCTGGAGGGAAGCTCTGCTTCGGCCGCTGAGCGGCAGAGCCCGGTGTGCGGGTGTCAGGCCGAGGCGGAGGAGAGTCACAGGTTAAGGGTGGGGTTTCCGACTACAGTGTGGGAAAGCAGTGGGCGTGGCCGGCTGGTTTTACAGCCAGATAGGCCTGCGGAGAAAATGCCGGAATGCTTCCGTGGTAAGGGAGGTGCAGAGCTTTCTGTCTCGGTGAAACGTGTGCGTGCGCTGAGGTCACGGCAGAAGGTCACTTCTTTCTGATGCTGTCGCTTGTAACCCCTTACCAGCCTTCTCCTCGCTCTGCGACTGTGGTCCTGGGAGTTACTGTTTTGCACACACACTGGCAACTGAAGTGTGTTTCAGGGGACGAGAGCAGATGTAGGAACAAACCCATGAGCCAAAGCAAAGTGGGAACAAAGTATAATGCAGGTGGTGACCGAGCTTCCTTGTAAAAGCTCTCCTGCCTTCCGGGAGACACAGGTGCCGCACCACGCTTCCTGATACGGACTCAGATTTTCTACTCGCGGGCCTCCCCAGCCCTTCCCCGGCTCCCCTGTTTGCGCTCTGCTCCCTCTGTGCAGTCCCATTTCACCGGGGAAGGGAGCGGCCCCACCAGTGAGGCTGAGTTAGAGGCTCAGTGCTGTGGGCAGGACCCCACCTGAGCTCCTGCGTGCTGGCTCCCTGGGGGCCCTCTGCCTCATACTGCTGGGCTAGAGGGGCCCCTGCGCATCCCTGAGGCCTGGAAACATCAGCGGGGTCCCCCCTTGTCAGAAACAGCCCCCGAGGAGGAGGAGGGAGGTGCTGGTGCCACTGCCTCGGCTTGGGGACACCATGTGTTGCGGTGTGAAGCCTCACGGGGTGTGGGTCCCTCAGGTGGCAGCGGTGGTGACACGTGAACAGCCAGCCCCTCGTCCCTGGTGCCTGGGGGTGTGGGGTCGCCAGGCCTTCTCTTGCCCACATATCCCAGGGCTGCTTTGCAGCCGCACGCCTTGGGGAGCAGGGGCTGGATGGGAGGGTGGGGCAGCAGGGCGCCGGCACCTGGACGTGCTCCGCGGGGCGGCTCACTCCCCTCAGCTAACCGCTTACCGTCGCTGCGAGCCAGGGAGCCAGCGGGTGGGCAGTGAGCCTGAGTCAGCCCTGCAGGCTTTCCCCTGACCGCTGGACTCAGCCGCTTGCTGGGTTCACGTCTGCGCGCGAGTGGGGCGCTCGTCCGGCATGCACAGTGCACAGATCCGTGGCCGCGTCTCTGTAACCACCTGCCTCCGTGGAATTTGCGTTGGAGGAGCCTGGGGGGTTTTCCTCCTCGCACGGCTCGTGTTCGCGGGGGACCCAGATGGCTGGCGGAGCGGGGCAGGCCCGGGACAGGTGGGTTCTCGGGTGTGACTGCCTGTGTCCTCCCCGCCCAGATAGCCTCAGTGTGGCACGGGCCCCTCGTGAGGCTGCTCCGGAGCCTCTACGCGCTGGCGCTGCCCGCGGCCTGCAAGCAGCTGCTGTCGGTGGAGCAGGAGGTGCGCTGGCGCCTGCGCAGGCTCCGGTACAAGCACCTGGCCTTCCTGGCGGAGTCCAGCACCGCCTACATGCAGCAGCGGGGCTCCCAGGAGCTGCTGGCCGAGCTGCTTGTGAGCCTGGAGCGGCGCTGGGCAGAGATTGAGGACAGCCGCATGGTGGTGGCCCTGATGGCGAAGGCGGGGCCCCTCTCGGAGCCACTGATGAACCGCCTGGAGGACAAGGTACTGGAGCAGGGGCGGGGCAGCCGCGGGCACGCTCTGTGGCCACGCTCACGAGCCCGGCGTGCTTCGTCTTCTTTAAAATCACCGCGTGCGCCTGACCTGGGCCGGCGGGCAGACCCACTCCGGGCTCACGTGTCCCAGGGATGTGCCGCACCCCCCCCCCCCCCGCTCCCCGCAGTCTGGTCAAATTCAGCCCCCGTTGCTGTCGTAGTGGGCGCTGGCCCAGGTGGCTGCTACAGCAGGCCGTGCAGCCCACGGGCCCCGGACCCCCGCACGGGGACCTGGGGGGAAGTCTGGCTGCAGACAGAGCACCCGGGCCTGGGGCTTCCCGGTGGGGAGCTGGGGCGGGCCCCACCCGGCTGGGGCCTGGGGTTAGTGAGCTCAGGCCCAGTTGCTGTCCCACAGGGGCCGCCCAGCGCCGCGCAGGAGCCCTGGCCTCGGCCGCCCCGCTGACCCCTGCGGCTGTGATTGACAGTGCTTGGAGCTGGCGGAACAGTTTGGGCCCGAGGAGCTGCGGAGGGTGCTGGTGACGCTGGCCGCTCAGAACCGGCGGTCGGTGCCCTTGCTGCGAGCCGTCTCCTATCACCTGGTCCAGAAGCCCTTCCCCCTGACGAAAGGCATCCTCTTGGACCTGGCGTACGCCTACGGTGAGCCCTTCCGGCCAGGAGCAGCGGGGAGAAGGGCGCTCTGCCTGCAGCTGTGTCCAATTCGGTGCCCGCCCGCCCCGTGGCCGGCGCTGGCCAAGAGGCTGCCACAGAAACACAGTGACCCATGGGCCCTGGTGCCCTCTGCTGGGCCTCAGGGATAAATTTGGTCACGGACACCTCATCCCCAGACCTCAAGGCCAGGCTGGGGTGGCTGGGTGGCTCCCAGGGCAGTCTGTAGACCCTCGAGGGTGATCCCTGGGCTCGCTCTGTCCCGAAGGCAAACTCGGCTTTCAGCAGACGCAGGTGTTGCGGCGCCTGGCTGCCGACCTGCTGCCCCACGTGCCCAGCCTGGCGTCCGGCGAGGTGGCCCGCTGCGCCAAGTCATTCGCCCTCCTCAAGTGGCTCAGTGGGCCTCTGTTCGAGGCCTTCGCCCAGGTGAGCCGGGCAGAGCCCTGCAGCCTGGGCTTGGGCGCCGTGGGGGCCTGACGCCCCTGGAGCGGGCTCCCTGCGCCTTGCGTCAGGGAGGCACAGCTGGCCGGACACACTGTCTGGTTGGTAAGGGGGTTCCTCCTCGGGTCATTCGGGGGAGCAGACATCATGGGTGGGGACTGTGTTTTCTGTTCTCAGTCTCAGAGGAGTTTATGTTCACGGGTGGCTGTCCTAGGAGCTGTACGGGTGGCGAGGCTGGAATCCACTCGCGGCTCCCAGGGCAGCAGCAGGGAGAGACGCGTCTGTGTGCACAGCCCGCAGCTGCTCGAGGCCGTGCCGAGCGGCCGCAGCATTTGCAGAGCCGCTGCTGGGCGGCTCCTGGGGATGGCAGCTGCTGGCGGGGAAGGTCTGGGTGGCCCTGGACAGCTGGGGTCATGGGCGGTGGGAGGGATGGGTCCGTCTTACACTGTCCCCCACCTGGCCTGGCCGGCCCAGCACGTCTTGGACAGAGCCCAGACCGTCCCGGTGCCGCACCTGTGCAATGTGCTTCTGGCCTTCGCGCACCTCAACTTCCGTCCGGAGTGTCCGGAACAGGAGGATCAGTTCTTCAGCCTGGTACGGTCTGTGCACCCCTGCCCCCCCTCCTGCCCTCTCCCTGCCGGCTGCTGCGGGGCCCCTGGGGAGCAGCTCCAGGCTGGAATTCTGCATGGGGGCCCTGGGGATGCGAGGGGAGCAGGCTAGAGCCACATGATGCACATTGTCCTGGGGACAGAAGACGCGCAGTCCCCCACGCCTGCTGTGTGGCCCAGAGCAGCTGCAGGTCAGGAGGCGTCGGCTGGCTCTCTCGCCGGCCACACAGTCAGGGCCAGGGGATCCCTGGTCTCCGATCCTGGTGTTTCCTTAACGCCCCGCTGTGGCTGTGAGCTGCGGGCAGGGCTGCGTGCCACGTGGGTCACCTGTGCATCCACGCAGGGTGAGCCGTTCTGCGTGTGCGCCGGCTTTGACCCTGGGCCTCTGTGCAGCACCGCCCTAGCAGGCCAGCTGCGGCCCCTTCCATAGTCTCCAAGTTCCCTCGAGGCCAGAAACACCTCCCCGGCCTGGGGCCTGCTCCCCGTGTGACGGGAGACATGAGTTCATGCCACAGACCCTTGCTGCTGGGAGGGGCTGTGGGAAGCTCCTGCTGAAGGTCGTGCAGGTGCCGAGGAGGGTTTCTGGTACTCTTGACGGGGGCCGCCCCAAGCCTGGCCGGGAGCGTGGGCAGGATCGTCCCCGTAGCTCTTCAGGCCTCGGGGTGGCCAAGTCCTTCGGGAGCCCTGAGCACTGCCGGCCCGGGATGCTGGCCGCCGCTGAGCGCAGCCCCTTCCTCCGCCCGCCCTGTCCTCGCTCAGGTTCACGAGAAGCTGGACTCCGAGCTGACGGGGCTGCACCCGGCCCTGCAGGTGGACGTGGTGTGGGCGCTGTGCGTGCTGCGGCAGGCGCGGGAGGCAGAGCTGCGGGCCGTGCTGCGCCCTGAGCTGCACAGCCAGTTTCTAGGTGAGTGGTGGGGCGTCCCTCCTCCCGAGCCCGCGGCCGCCGCACATGCCTGCTTTTGCGCGCCTCCACCAGGGCAGGGGAAAGGCGGCCCCCCAGCTCACCTGGTGTTCACCGCTCCTCTGTCCTCTCCCTGTGGGGGACCCCCAGACCCTCTTCCCTGATAGCACATGTGGTTCAGGGTGCAGCGTGGGGGCAGGGTGCCCTGGTCCCCCACCTGGCCTGCGTGTCCCTCAGCCCACCTGCTCTTCTCGCGCCATCTTCTCCCGTAGAGGCCAAATCCCCGAAAGACCAGGGCACCTTCAGGAAGCTGCTGCACGTGAACGCCAGCGCGCGGCTGGAGCACCCCGGGTACGCGGGCCCGTGTCTGCCAGCCGCGGCCCTGCTCCCCCGGCTGTCCGCCCTCGACGGGAAGGTGACCCCCTTGCAGAAGGAGCTGCAGGACACGCTGAAGGGGCTGCTGGGGAGCAGCGACAGGGGCAGCTTCGCGGTGCCCACCCAGTACGGCTGGATCCTGGGTGAGCCCCCCACATCCCCCTGCTGATGGCCACGGGGCTGCTGCTCATTCCAGCCCTCTGTGGTGAGGGTCCTGCGCCCCTGGGGATGGTCCCCAACACATGCGCCCACGCCCCTCCTAGACGCTGAGGTGCTGCTGGACCCCGACGGCCAGTTCCTGCCCCTCAGGAACTTTGTGGCCCCTCATCTCGCCCCACCATCCGGGAGCCAGCCGCTGCCCCCCGGAGCCAAGAGGTAGGCAGCCAGACGCCTCCCCGGGGCTCCCTGCTCCCTCCGCGGGCCCTGGGGGTACACTCCGCCTGAGCCCCGCGCCCTTCCCTGCCAGGCTGGCCTTCCTGCGCTGGGAGTTCCCCAGCTACGGCAGCCGGAGCCGAGACCTGCTGGGGCGCTTCGCGCTGGCCCGGCGCCACGTGCAGGCCGCTGGCTTCCTGGTGGTGGACGTGAGTACTGTGGGCCCGGGGCCGGCCACGTCGGGGTCCCCTCACATGGGAGAAAGGGAAGCTTGGGAGGTGGTGTTTAAGGCTACCACTTCTGGAGCCACTCGGGGCCTCATAGACCCAGTCTGCATGCCGGCCGCAGAGAGCAGGGGGCCTTGCAGGCTGGGGGACGGTTTTGTCACGTTTACATCTTGGATGTTTTTCTGTTTTCAGCGGTTTTTAAAAATTAAAAAGCCATCCTTGGGCTCTGCAGCCTTCCGGATCCCTGGCTCCGGGTCAGGGCGCTGTAGCTCTGAGCACTGAGGGAAGCGGGGCCTCCCCGCTGGCCACAGTCCTGCGGCTCCGTGGGCTTGGGAGGCTAGGGGTGCGGGTGCAGAACAGCGGGCAGAGCCGTGGTCCCCATGCCCTCCCCGCAGGTCCCGTACTACGAGTGGCTGGATCTCAAGTCCGAGTGGCAGAAAGGCGCCTACCTGAAGGACAAGATGCGAAAAGCTGTGGCAGAGGAGCTGGCCAAGTGATGTGTCCCGAGCCGTGGACTGTGCTTGCGGGGGGCCGGGCTCTCCGAGGCCTGGCCGGGGCCACTGGACACTCGTGCGTGGGCGAGCTTGCCCAGAGGGCGTGCTGTCCTGCAGCGCCTGCCTCTTATGGGCAATAAACCTGGGATTTCAGCTTTCAACACCAGGAGACGTCCCAGGTTTTGTTGCCTTCGCTGCCCTCTGCCCTGCGTTGGGCACTACTGGCCTGTCCCCACCTCTGCCTGCCCGGGGGGCCCGTCGGCGCACATGCAGCTGCCTGTTGCACACGCCGTGCATCTCCGCAGGTGGAGCCTGACGCCTCCGGCCCTGGGGCCGTGAGGACCTTCCCAGGCAGGCCCTGGGTGTGGGGACGCGGCTCGGGGTTCTGCTGGTGGTGTAGGTGCTGAGCACAGTCGTCCTGGGAGTTTCTCTCCTGCCTGGGGTGTCGGGAGAGTGTGGGTGTCCTGAGAAGCCAAGCTGATAGGAGGTGCTGGGTCTGGAGCAGAACCAGGGCTCGGCAGACACAGCAGGTCTCGTGACCCCTCCCCGCCCGTCCGGGCCAGAGGTTCCTGGGATCACAGGCCTGTGCGCCCCAAGCCTCCTTTCCCACTGCAGCAGTAGTGCCACTAGATGCTGGAAAGAACAGTTCGTCCCTGGTGCCTCTGGGGTGGAGGGAGCTGGGGAGAGAAAGGCCACCTCCACCCTGGGTCCCAAGGCCAGCCGTTCCGCACACCTTCAGAGAACTCGCAGCTCACACAGGCACGGGAGTGGACACGTTTGCCCAGGGGGTGGCTGTCCCTCACTAGGTGGGAGGGGGCGGCGACAGTGGCCCGGGCAAGAGACCTGCCATAGCGAAGGACTGGCATGGGCGAGCGCCAGGTGCAGATCGGCTCAGGAGGGCCTCGAGCGGCCCCCTGAGGACCTGTGAGCCTGTCCTGGGCACTGCTCGGGCCTACCTGCCTCCATGGGACACACACGAGTCCCCTTGTGCTCGTGAGAAGGGACGTGGTAGCTGTGTGCTCCCGGTTTCCTCAGCGGTGACCTCTCATGGCACTGGCGGGTGTCCCACCAAGATAACTGACAGGGATGGGAGTCCCCAAGTAGGACGGCTCCTCGGCACGAGAACCCCTGTGCCTTCTACACCCGCACCTCCCTTTTGCCAGCTGCCACCCCCGTTTTCTCCATGTCTCCCCTGCCCTCAGAGCTTCTGTAGAGGAATCTGACTGCGTGGCCCTCGGGTCGGATCTGCACCAGTTCCTTACGGGTGGCTCTCATGCGGGTGTCCATACTGGCCCTTCCCTGCCCCTGCGGTTGGATGGCTCGGCCCCACTCTCGAGGATAGTGCAAACCCCAGTTCTCGGATAAATGCCCAGGAGCACGGCTGGCACTGTGCTGGCCTATGTTCCCACCAGCAGAGTGAGGAGCCCTTTTGTTCTTTGTGTCCTTGCCATGTGGTGTCGTCCTAGATGGCTCAGATTCTAGAAGATGGGGCATCGCCCCGGTAGCTCGTGCTGGGGAGCACTTCATTCTGGCCATCCAGGGGGCGTGCGTCAGGGCCCTGCCATCTCAGTGTTCCCACAGCGACCAGTGTTCTCTCCATCTTTGCGTGTCCTTACTCCATTTGTATCGTCTTTGGAGAAATAACTTCAGTTCTGCATCTCGTTTTTAATCACGTGACCTTAGTTGTAAGAGGATGTTCTGGAAACCAGTCACTTACTGGATGAAGGATTTGCAAATGCTTACTCCCGTTTTGTGGGTTTTCACTTACTTGATGGTGTCCTTGAACCAACCTGTGAAGGTCACTATCTTTTTTTTCTTTTGCATGTGCTTCGTGGGGGTCATATCCAAAAATCCTTGGTTTGGTGAATCTAGATCATGAAAATACACCCATTTTCTTCTAAGAATTTTATAACTGTGCTCTTAATACCTTTGGTCTGTTTGGGGTTAGTTTGTATTTGGTGTGTGCCTGGTGTCAGCTTCGTTCTTTTGCACGTGACTCTCCAGTTGTCCCAGCACCGTTACCGGGAGAGCAGCTCTCTTCTCGTTGTACAGTCTTGGCACCTTGGTTGAAGCTCCATTGGCCACAGATGTCGGGGGTTATTTCTGGCTCTCAGCAGCACCCTGTCTCTTGATTGTTGCTCTGTAGGACATTCTGAAGTAGCGTGAGTCCTGGACTACGTGAAAAGGCTTCCGTACAGCAAGGAAAACAGCCAACAAAACTGAAAGCCTGCAGAATGGGAGGAGATACTTGCAAATGACACAACCAATAAAGGGTTAGGATCTAAAGTACATGAAGAACTTAACACACACACACACACAACCTTCCAGTTTAAAAACGGGCAGAAGACATGAACAGACATTTCTCCTAAGAAGACATCCAGATGGCCGGCAGACACATGGAAAGACGCTCCACATCACTCGGCATCGGGTGGGACCACCTCACACCGGTCAGAATGGCTAAAATTAACACAGAACGACGGGGGTCCACGAGGATGTGGAGGAAGGGGACCCTCTTACGCTGTTGGTGGGAATTCAGGCTGGTGCAGCCGCTGTAGGCAACAGTATGGAGTTAACTCAAAAAAGTTAAAAATAGAGCCACCCTACAGCCCAGCAATCGCACTGCCAGCTGTTTACCCAAAAAAGATAAAACACAAACTCAAAGGGATACCCGTGCCTCTAGGCTTAGAGCAGCGTTACTGACCTCAGCCAAATTACGGAAGTGATCCGAGTGCGCGCTGCCTGATGAATGGGCAAAGGGGAGGGGAGGGGTGCACACACATGACACACAGCAATGGGCTATTTACAGCGTGAGGGGAAAACTTGGCATTTGCCATGATGTGGATGATGCTGGGAGGTACTCCGCTAAGTGGACTAAGAAAGACACCATAGGATTTCACTTCTGTATGGAATTTATGAAACAAAAAGGAAAAGGGCAAACTAAAAAACAGATTCCTAACTATAGAGCACAAATGCATACCCGAGGGGAGGTGGCCAGGGGGCCGGGGCGCTTGGTGAGCACTGAGTGACCAGAAGTGTTGGCTCGCTCCACGCCTGCAGTTCGTACGATGCTATGTTAACCACACCGGGATTTTAAAGAGGGTGAGTCCTACTTGATGGTCCATTTTCAAGGTGGTTTTGACTATTCTGGGTCCCTTGTGGCTGCGTATGCGTTTTAGAAGTAGCTGGCCAGTTCTTACAAAGGAGTTGGGACTCGGAGAGGAATAGCAAGGGAGCCTCGGCTCAGTTTGGGGAGCGCTCTCGGAACCACCTTATGCCTTCTGATCCATGAACGTGGGATGTTTGCACATTGATTTAGCCATTCCTTAATTTCAAAGGTTTTCTAATTTTTAGAGTGTAGATTTTGAGCTTCCCTTGCTAAACTAATTCCTAAGGACTTTATTCTTTGGGGGGTTATTATGAATGGCATTCTCTTTACTTCAATTTTGGATTGTTTATTACAAATTTATAGAAATACAGTTGAGTCTTGGGGCTCCTGGGTGGCTCAGTGGGTTAAATAAACAGTTGCCTTCGGCTCGGGTCATGATCCCAGGGTCCTGGGATCGAGCCCCACATCGGGCTCTCTGCTCAGCCTGGAGCCTGCTTCCTCCTCTCTCTCTGCCTGCTTCTCTGCCTACTTGCGATCTCTGTCTGTCAAATAAATAAATAAAACCTTTAAAAAAATACAGTTGAATCTTTACCCAAAGTACAATTCATGTACAATATCCTGTTGGTTTCAGGTGTACATCATGGTGACTCTATTTGTACATGGATCCCCATGAGTCTAGTTGCCTCTGTTACCGAAGGTACTGGAACGTTGTTGACTGTATCCCCTATGCTGTACGTTGTACTCGTGACTTACGTGGTTTCTAACTAGAAGTTTGTGCCTGTTAATCCGCTTCGTCTGTGTCCCGCCCCCACAGCCCCTCCCTCCCTCTGGTCACCCTTCTTTGAAGCTGTTGCCATTTTGTGTTTGGGGTTTTTAGATTTTTTACAATTTTGTAGGATTTTTTTTTAAAAGATTTTATTTGACAGAGACACAGCGAGAGGGGGAACAGAAGCAGGGGGAGAGGAAGAGGGAGAAGCAGGCTCCCCGCTGAGCAGGTTGCCCAATGCGGGGCTCGATTCCAGGACCCCGGGATCCTGACCTGAGCCGCAGGCAGATGCTTAGCGACTGAGCCCCCGGGCGAGAGGAACCTGCGCTCCAAGAAGCGGCTGCACCAGTTTATGTTCCCACCAACGTGCGCGAGTGTCCCAGCTTCACACGCTCGCCAACACTGTCCATGTTTCCTGTTTGCTACCAGCCGTTCTGCGGGCGGGTGGGCTCTCCCCGCTGTGACGCGTGGGTCCCTGGCGAGGAGTGGCGCTGCGCATCGTGTCACGCGTCTGTCGGGGTCGGCTTTTCTTTGGAGAAATACCTATTCGGACCCTCTGCCCGTTTTTTAATCAGGGCATCTGTTGTTGGGTCTTTACTGCATATGCTCTCCTCTATTGTTTTATATGTTTTATCGCGTATGTTCTGTATGTATTTTGGGTATTTGCCCCTCACTGGGTCGTGCGGTTCGCGGGTCCCCCCACATTCCGTAGGCTGCCGCCTTCATGTTTCATTGATGGCTCCCCCTGTGCACCGGCTTTCTGGGCTGATGCTGTCTCGTGTCGCCCTTGCCTGAGGAGACTCCGAAAAGAATGTTGCGAGACCGACAGAGAACGTGCCTGTGCTCTCCTCTGGGGGTCTTATGGCTTCGGGTCTCACACTGAAGTCTTTCGTGCATTTTGAATTTATTTTTGCGTGTGGGGTAAGGCAGAGCCGGTCTCGTTCTGCATGTTGTCCAGTGTCTGTCGGCGAGGCCGGCTCCCCCGCATCAGACACTCTGGCCTTCTCTCTCACAGGTTCGTCGACCCCCTAAGTGCGGCTTTATTTCTGGACTCTCTCCAGTTCCGCTGACCCGTGTGTCTGTTTCCCACCAGGTCCGTACTGTTTGGGTCACTTTATGTGCTCTGCAGTGTCGTGTAAAGTGTGGGCGCGTGGTACCACCACGTGTTGCTGCTTCTCAGGATCGCTTTGGCTGCGAGGGGCCGACCGTCGATCTCCATGAGCTGATCTTGAACCCGCAGCCTTGCTGAACTGATGTTCCAGTCCTGATCGTCGTTGCTGCTTTGAAGAGTTTGTCTTTGACTTCAGCATTTTCACAGACGCCTGCTTGTGGCTCCGCCTACATCCTACGTGGAGTCCGCTGGGCTTCCTGACGTTTGGGAGGTTTTGTATTCAGCTCAGAAGTGTGAGCCGCGCCTTCTGTGGAAGCCGCGCTCGCCTCCTGGCGTTCCCGCGGTGGCGGTGTCCAGGCCGTTATGCTCCGCATCTCCCGGAGACTCTGTCCACTTGTCTTTCCCCCGTTCTTCAGCTGGCGTGGTCTGTCCGGCTTCACGTTCACCCATTCTCCTGCCCATTCGAATCTTCTGTTCACCCCTTAAAGTGAATTTCATCATTTCCCTGCGTTTTGGATGTTCTCCCCTTAATGTGACCTTATCATTTGACCTCCCTTAACTTCTTTGCTCAGGCACACGTGTACCATGGCGCCTCGAGGTCTCTGTGAGGTGTGTCATCCTGCCACCCTCCTGGGCAGTTTCTGTTGCCGCCTTCTTCCCCGCACAGGGTGTATATAGTCCTACTTTCCTCTCCTAGTGCCTGGTAATTTTCTGTTGGAAATTGGGCATTTTTAATAAAATCCTGTAGTAATTCTGGGTTCAGGGCCAACGCTCTCTCTCCTCTGGGGCTTCTCACTGTTCCTTGCTCGTTTGCGGGACTGGCTAAGTTATCTTGGTGAAGTCTTCTGCTTTTCCCTTGCAGTGCGCGGCCTCTGGTGCTCTTCCTCTGGAAAGTACATGGCTGTGCCCACAGTCACCCTGGCCTTCTCTCTGGGCTGTGGCTTCACTGGCTCTGTGAGTCTCCTCCCAGGTGCCTTTGACCACAACCTCCACGGTCTTGAGAGCACCCTCGGGTTCAAACTTCCCCAGGCGCTATTGCAAGGCAAGTCAGCTCCTCTGCGAAGAGACTGGGAGCTCAGCACTCAGTGGAGGGGGGACAGCAGCCTCTTCTGGAGTGGAACCATGGCCCTGAGCTGGCCTCCACATGCCAGGCCCAAGGTCGAGTCTCCCTCCACAAGTGGGGGCTAATCAGAGGAAGGGAGCCCCACCTCACTCACACCTGCCTGGGACTCAGGCTCAGCAGCACATGCCAGGATGGGATAGGAAGTGCTAAGATCCCGGGGGCCCCGCGTTCTTGGCTCAGCAGTCAGGTGCATTCTCTGCCTTCGTGAGCGGGGAGAGGGGAGGGAGGCAGCGGCTTGGCCGCGTCAGACAGCACTGACTCTGCATTCTTTCAAACTTTGAACGGGGCACCCGAGTGGCTCAGTCGTGTCCAACGCTTGGTTTCAGCTCCGGTCGTGGGATCAAGCCCGAGTCAGGCTCCACACTCCGTGCAGAATGCGCTTGAGTCTCTCCTTCTGCCCCTCCTCCTCCCTTTCTCAAATAAATAAATAAATCTTTTTTAAAAAAACAAAATAAATTGGCCCCAATTTCCTTGAATAGCTCTTTCTTCGTCGGTTTGCCCATCAGACCATTTCCAGGAGCCCTGAGTGTTGGTGGCATGATTTCCACCAGTTTCACTGGTGGAAGTCTGGCTGCCCTCACTCCTTTTCTTGCCTCCCTGTGGGGTTAGACCCCGCAGCCCCATGTTGGAAAACGGGCGGGAACAGATGCCCTTTTCCTGCCTCCGCCCCAGAGAGCAGTCTCGCCACCGAGCACGGCGTTGGCTTCAAGCATTTGCGTAATCTCAGCCGAGCTCATTTTTACTTGCCAAGAAGTTTTTCACCATCTGAACAGCTGTTGGATTATGTCAGACGGGTCGTGTGTCACTCAATACGGTCACATAATTTTTCTTGTTTAGCTTGCGGGTATGGTGGGTTCCACCAAATGGTCTTCAAGTGTCGAGCCATCCGTGCACACCTGGAATAAATTCCATCGGTCACGGTTGTGTAGTTCTTTTTATACAGTGTCAGGCTCGCAAACGGACATTGTACTTTGCATACTTGGGGGAAGCGGCCGGGGCACGCTGGGCCTGGAGTTTTCTTCGGCTAAGCTCTTAAATGAGAAATCAAGTGTCTTTCATGGTTCCAGCACTGTTCAGACCATCTCCTTCAACTCGCCTGCTCGAGTTTGGTGATTTTAATTGGCTTCTTGCCTCCAGGGATTTCAGACATCATCTGGCGCTCCCGGAAACAGTCTCACCCAGCGTCCGGCGCCGTGTGGCCTGGTCAGGCCGGCGCTGAGCTACGCATCCAGACCCCAGCGCGCTCGGCTACTGGGCCCTTGTCTTCTGTCCTCTTCAGGTCGTCAGCCTCGTTAGGGCTGGGTCGGTCTTAAATCCCCACAGAACCATCTTGTTTCATTGATTTCCTGTTTCCACTGTCACTGATTTCCACTCCTGACTTCAATATTTCCTTCTTTTTGGTGCTTTCGGTCTTATTTTGCTCTTCTTGTCCTAGTTCCATGAGGCAGGAACGTCAATGATGTTGAGGTCTTGCCTCTCTCTGATGCGTATACATATCCCTTCGGCTGCGTTACCGCAGACCACACACTTCGGTGTTTTGTATCATTCTTCTTCGGGTCAGTTCTGTGTTAAAAACAAACACACACCCCGAGGTCCTCCCCCTACACCCCTGGATCACTCGCCGGAGTGTGGCTTTCTTCTCAGCGTTTGCAGGGTTTCCTGTCGTCTTGCCGTGGTCTGAACACAACGCCGTGATCTCGGCTGCTCTGGACGCGCCGGGGTGTGTTTTCCGCCCGAGCTGTGAGCTCCCTCGGGGGAGGTCCCCTACTTAGAACACAGGATCACTCCGCGTCACTGGCCAGGCGGCCCGTGGGGACGGTGGTGGGCGCGCTGTGGCTGTCCTGCACCGGGCTGGTTCCCTGCCCAGCGGCGCGGTGGGTCGTCCGGAGGCCGGAGGGGGGTCCGCAGCCACACCTGCGGCGGCAGCCTCCCCACAGCTGCACCGGCCTCCGCCCCACGTACTTTGTGGCTCTATCAGCTGCCATGAGCGCATCTGGGACGGTCACATCCTCCCAGGGGACTGATCCCCGCCTCTAGCGTGTCCCCGCACACTGTCCGCCGCCACCACGCCTCCACTCAGAGGTCTGCCTTCTCAGATGCAGCCCCGTGCGGCGCCCTCGTCTGGCTGCCGGCCACACCGCATGTCCGCTGCCACCGGCCCACCGACCCGTGACTCTAAGTGACTTTCCCATAAACAGCACATGCTTCCATCGGCCTTTTGTGTCCACTCTGCCCGTCTTTGCTTCCACTCTGTGCACGCACATGTTACCGTCTCACGTGATTTGTATAATTAGCCTACTCACGTTTGTGTGTGTTAAGGCCCACAGCCGGCCGTTTTGTCTTCCTGTTTGCCTCTGTTCCTTGTTCTTTCGTTTCTCTCATCCTGCTTTCCTGTGGACTCTTTGAACACTTTTTTTTAAACATTTTATTTATTTATTTGAGAGAGAGGGAGAGACCATAAGCAGTGGGGAGAGGGGGAAGCAGGCTCCCCACTGAGCAGGCTGATGCGGGGCTCGATCCCAGCACCCTGGGATCATGACCTGAGCTGAAGGCAGAGGCTTTTAACCCACCGAGCCACGCAGGTGCTCCAATAAATAAAATCTTTTTTTAAAAAAACCCTCTTGAGGGGCACCTGGGTGGCTCAGTGGGTTAAGCCTCTGCCTTCGGCTCAGGTCGTGATCTCAGGGTCCTGGGATCAAGTCCCGCGTCGGGCTCTCTCCTCAGTGGGGAGCCTAAATCCCCCTCCCTCTCTGCCTGCCTCTCTGCCAACTTGTGATCTCTGTCTGTCAAATAAATAAACAAAATCTTAAAAAGAAAAACAAAAACCCTCTTGAGTGTTAGTTGGTGTTAACGTTTGTTTCATCGTCACACACACCACCAGGCACTCAGGAGGAGAGCTCGCTCTCTGTCCTTCCCATGCTCCTTCTTTCCTCCCGGTGCCCCAAGAGGACGCCCTTATCATGTCCGACCTGGTGGAGGGACGTGCTTTACCCAGGCTTGTGGGGCGCTGGGCAGGGGCGGGAGCCCTCAGAGTCCCCTCACTCAGGGTGCATTTCTCCGTCGCTCCTGTGCGCGTGCACGGACACACGGCCAAAGCGGGGGTCTTCTTGCATGGCGCTCACTTTCAACACCTGGAACACGGTGCGCTTCCTTCCAGCCGCGGGCTCTGGCCCAGAAGAGCACTGCGCTTGCCCTCAGCGTTCCCTGTAGGGCTCGCGCTCGTCTGGCTGCTTCGATGATCTTGTCCTCAGTGCTCAGAGCTTACAGCTCAAGTGTCCGGACGTGGATTTCCTTGGATGTTGGATCTCCACGTCTCTGTCTTTGGCCATGTTGGGGAGCTTCAGGCATCAGTCGAGTACTCTTCCCGACCGCTCGCCCCTGCCCCTCTTCTGGGACTCCGGTTATGTGGACAGCGGATCTTGTGTTGTTACCCCCCAGGTTCCTGAGCCTGTGTCCAGTTTTGCCCGGCGTTTCCATTGTCATAGTAAACAGGTTGAGTCCTTTCTGTGGACCCATCCTCAGCCTCACAGGGACGTCCGCTGTCATTTCGGGCCACAGATAATCCGCCCAGCAAGTGTTTCATTTCGATGAGTCTGTATCGTGCTGTGATTTTGGTTTTCTTCTGTGTTATAATGTCTCTCTCCTTACTGACATTTTCCATTTGCTCCAATATAAACTGTTATTCCTTATGGAAGCTTTTCGAGCACGACTGATTTAAAGTCCTTGTCTGATAATCCCAGCATCTCCGCCTCCGTTTGGGCATCAGCCGGTTCCTCTTTCTTATTCTGGTTGTGCCTCTCCTGGGTCTGGGGTTTCCTTGAGTTTCCTGGTAGGATGGGGGATTTTTTTATTGTCCCCAAAACAGTCGGCCGATTTCGGTTCACATTCTGTATTTTAGCAGGTGGCCGTCCTGTTCGGGCTCACCAGGCGGGTCCTGGGTATGCTCTAGTGGCCTGAGGTTTCCGTGGCAATGGAACGTGCAGAGGTCCCTGCGGGGCCATCCCGGAACTCTGGCCGGGGGCCGGGGAATCTGGTCCTCGAGGAGTACTTCCTGGGCAGAAAGCCTGTTGTGGGCACCCCCTAACCAGTGCTCAGGTTGGGGCATCTTGGTGGGGCAGGAGGGCCAGTGGGCCTGGCAGGGAAGGAGTGGGCCTCTCCCTGGTCCTCCTACCAGACTGGCAGACACCCCTAGAGTCGCAGTGGGACTCCAGCCACATATGGGGATGAATACACGCCCCTGGTCCTCTTCCTGGTAGCAGGCTGGGGGCAGGCAGGAGGAGGTCAAGACACGCGATCCTGGACCCCCTTATGTGGGGCTGCTCTATTGTTCTTCCAGCCCTGGGGACCCCCACCATGTCACCTCACTCTTTCATGTCCGAGAGTTCTGGTTGTCTCTGATTTCCTGCATTTATCGGCAGTCGGGCAAAGAGACAAGGCTAGGCCACAAAGTACACAAAGCTAGAAGGCCCTCAGGGCATGCTGAAGGGCTTTTGGTTTCCGGAAAGTGTGTGCAGGCCAGAGAGTAGGGTTGGCAGAGCAGTGGGGTTAAGAAGGACTCTTAGCCCCCGCGGCAGCACCGGCGAAGGGCGGGATTGGGGTGGGGGGCAACTTAGAGGAGTCTGGGAGGCGCGGATGAAGGTGTGGGGAAGGAGGGGAAGAGGAGGGTCCCGGTAGGGGATAGATGAACGGGTCTCCAGCGTTTCCAGAGCCTGAGAGGGGTGCAGGATGCCGGCTCAGGCTGGGCAAGGCGGGGCTGCGGCCTAGGGCAGGCAAGGGGGTCAGCTCCACGGTGCGTCCCGGGCGCCGCACGCAGAGACAGGGTTGGGGAGACGCCCCGCCCCACCCCCATGACAATGACCGCTCTGATTCCCTGTCCCCGCCCAGCTCTGGGTGGCGACAATGGTCATCTGTCTCCTGGAGCCGGAGCCTGGCACTGGGCGGGTGCGAGCGCGGGAGGGCCCGGGAGGAAGCGAGGGCACGGCTCGGGGAGGCTCGAGAGGGCTTGAGGCTCTGGGGTGCGGCCGGGGGCGGCCGCGGAAGCGGTGGGGGGCGTGGCTTTCCTGTTCCTCCGCCTGGTGTCCGGGAGCCGAGCTGCGGGACGCACCCCCCCTGGCCTTCCCGCACGGTTCGGTCTCCGGTTTCCATGGAGCCGGGAGGCGGTTGCCACGGAGACCAGCGTGCGACAGCCAGCCAATCGGCGTGGAGCTGCGGCTCCGGCTCACCTCCTGGATGGAGGCAAGGGGGGCGCAGGAGGCCGGGCACCGGGACTGCGCCGCCACCTCCCCCGGGGCGCTGAGGCCCCTGCGCCCTGAGCGCCGGCGACCCTCCCCACCCCCTTCTCTTCCAGGCCCGGCTTAGGGTTGATGTTCCCTGGGGTCCGTCCAGCTTCCGACCGGCCCCGAATCCCCTGGCGTCCAGAGGGGAATGCTGCAGGAGAGGCGGGGCCGGGCAGCGCGGAAGGAGGGCGAAGCCCAGGTCCGGGGAAGGAGGAAGGCCGCCCCCCGCCCCAGCCGCTCCGCAGTGCTTGGGGCGCACGCGCACGCTCACTCGGGGCGCCGGGCAGGCGGGGCGGCGCTGACGTCATCCGATGACCCACCCACCCCCTACCCCCTGGCCGAGGGGCGGTGGCCGCGCAGGCTCCGCCGGACCGACGCACGGACAGACCGGGCACCGAGGGAAGGGCGCACGGTCAGGCCATGCCCGGGGAGGCTGCCCGCGCCGAGCTGCTGCTGCCGGAGGCGGGCAGGCCCGGGCCCCGCACAGGTGAGGCCTCGGGCTGTGCCTCCTGCGTCTGTCTCCGCCGCCCTGTCCCTGCCTGTCCCCTGTCTAATCCCTCTCCTGCCTGTCCCCTCTGTCCTTCTCCCTTCTCCAATCACCCCTCCCCCACCACCCCGTCCCCTCTCCGGTCCTTCTGGCGCCCTGCCCTTTCGAGCACATGAATGCTGACCGCCGCCCCCTCTCCCGCCCCGCACGTCTCAGCTCAGGACTGCGGGGAAGGGCGGAAACGGGATGTCCTCCAGGAGCCGGGAGCTACGCGAGGGCCTGTGAGCATCCCAGGGCTCCGTGGCTGTCGGCCGGCATCCCGCCCTCTGGGCCGCCGCTGTTGCCCCATTGTCTGTGAGCAGCGGCGGGCCCTGCACAGAGGTTGGGGGTTCTCCACTGAACCCCATCATCAGGAGCACCCGCCCCTTAGAGGCCTGAAGCTGCCTCAGGGCTGGTGGCCTGGGCAGCTGGAGCAGGACTGGAGCTGGAGCCGGGGGAAGCCCAGGCGACAGGCTGTGAGGGTGGGAGGTCTGATCCCCTGGGGGAGCAGGTCTGGGGGCAGTGCCCTGGGGCGCAGGCAAACATCACTGGAGAGGCGAGGTCAGCAAGTGTGGGTGGAGGCTGAGGGTGTCTACCTGGGTCTGGAAGGACCAAGAAGGGTGGCCCAGCAGGTCAGCCATGAGTGACCCTTAGAGGGCCAAGGGCACCTTGCTGTGGATCAGTCACCTGGGAGTGTCACCAGAGCTGGGTCCAGGGGCCTGGGCTCCCTCTGGGGTCCAGTAAAGCAGGTGGAGGACTAGAACTCCTCGGACCCAGGGTCTCAGGCTGCTTGATGACCTTGAATGCTTCTAAAAACCTTTGACTTTTGACTTCCCTTTCTCATCCCCCATGGTCTGGCTCTGCCCTCTCCCTGCCCCCTCCCTGCCCCAGGACGGGAGGGCAAAGGGACCACCCGCTCTGAGCCCGGTCTCTTCCCGTCCCCGCCCACCACACCCACCTCCAGGCATTTGGTGTCTGTCACACGGCAGTGGACCCAAAAGACCCCATTCTCAGGATCCCCTGGCCACCTCAGAATTGCGGTAGTGCGGCCGTGGCGCCCGAGGGACCGTCCCCCATTGCTGCAGGCCAATGGGCAGTGGAGGGCGCTACCCCTTCGTAAAAGCTTCCCCCCAGTCCGGGCAGATTGTTGACTTTGGCAGACAGCTGAGGCACGAACATACTTGTGGGGCGACCAAGGGTAGGGAGTGGCGCTGCCCTGGGGCCGGCTTGCGTGTTCCTGGCAGGGGGAGCCCTTCCAGCCCCACGGGGCGGCTGCCGCCACGGAATGGCCCGGCTGGCCCTATCGTCCTGGAGCCCGTCCCCCACAGCTGCCCTCTCCCACGGGACCCCCCCCCCACCCCCACGCTCCAGCTCGGCCTCCGTGGGACACGCAGCCTGAGGACGCACACACAGTGGCCCCGCTTCTCTCCTCTGTGAGCAGGAGTGAGAGCAGAGCCAGGTGGCACCCCCAGAGGCCGGCCTCAGGTATGGGCAGCAAGGAGAGAGACAAGGCCAAGAGGCGAGACCCCCATGCACAGGAGGTGGGAAACCTAGATCATCACAGGGCCGGCGGGATGCAGGTGTCCTGCCCCTGGGGGTTTCTGAAGCAGGAGGTCAGGTGAGGTCACCCGCCAGGTCCCAGCCAGCCAGTGTCCACAGATGGGCGCTGGTCCTGGCCTCAGGATCCATGCCCCCCACCCCTGGCCCCAGGCTGTTCCCCCGGCGTCACACCTCTCGGAAATTCTCCCCCAGACACTCCTGGAGGATGCCTCCCCTTCTCACACCCCTCTCTTTCCACAGAGTCATCCTGTGATGTGGCCGTGGCCACCACCCCAAGAGGGGACCGGCTGGAGCACTGTGCCCTGACCCCTGGACCCAGCGCCCTGGCCCTGGAGTTTCTGCCCAGCAAGCCAGGCGCCCGGCCCCCACCTGAGGGAGCCAGCTGGGATGCAGGGCCGGGAGGCACCCCCTCAGCCTGGGCAGTCCCCACAGAAGGCAGCCCCAGCCTGGGTTCCCCCGAGGCCCAGCCTGCCGGCGGCCCTCCCCCAACCACCCTGGAGCCCCGGATCGTGATGGGCGAGGAGACCCGCCGGGTGCCCCTGCCGTCCAGGGCAGCCCTTCCAGAGCTCAGGGACTGGGAGGGTGGGCACCCCAGCCTGGACCCACCCCCCGAGTTGTGTTCTCAGGGTGACCCTTCTGTGCCTTGCCCTGCCCCAGACCCTGACTCCTACTTCACGCCGCCCTCCACTCCCACCGAGACCACCTCTGCCCTGCTCCTTGGGCCCGGGCCCCGCAGGGAGGCTGAGCCAGGGGACTCGCCGCCTGCCTCGCCATCGGGCTCCTACATCACAGCAGATGGGGACAGCTGGGCCTCGTCCCCGTCCTGCTCCCTGAGCCTGCTGGCCCCGACCGAAGGGCTGGACGTCCCCTCAGGCTGGGGCTTCTCCCCGCCGGGCTCTGTGGCTGATGAGCAGGAGCTGCCTCCCGCGGGGCCCCCGGGCCCCCCGTCCCCGGAATCCAGCATCTCGGCCGACAGCAGCTCTTCCTGGGGCCAAGAGGGCCACTTCTTCGAGCTGGACTTCCTGGCCAATGACCCCATGGTCCCCGCCGCCCTCCTGCCCTTCCGAGGCAGCCTCATCGTGCAGGTGGAGGCTGTGGAGGTGGCGCCGAGAGTCCCCGAGGAGGAGGAGGAGGTCCCTGTCCCTGGAGGGGACCCAGCCGGGGAGGGCGAGGACGACAGCACGTTCGCCTCCTCCCTGCAGTCCCTGTCTGACCTCTCCATCACCGAGGGCATGGACGAGGCCTTCGCCTTCCGGGACGACACCTCGGCGGCCTCATCCGACCCCGACTCGGCCTCCTATGCAGGGGCAGACGACGAGAGGCTGTACAGTGAGGAGCCCCACGCGCAGCCCGCCGCCCTGCTCCAGGACACCCCCGGCGAGCCCGCTCCCACCGTCTCCGCCGCGGGGGCCGGCCGAGCCTCCGAGAGCGGGGAGCCGAGCGCGCGGGTTCCCGAGATGGGCCAGGCCTCCGCTCCTCCCGCAGTGCCTCCCGCCCCGCAGGAAGCCCCGGGCCTCACTGGGGAGAACCCCTGGGCCTGGAGGGAGGACGTGGGCTCCATCTCGGGTCTGGCGTCTGCTGCCGTGGGCACGGCTCAGCCCCGATGGGAGGATGACAGCGCAGCCTTAGGCCCAGAGTTTTGGACCTCCTCGGAAGAGGGAACCCTCACTCCAGGCCCAGACTCTCTGCAGAACCTGGAAGAAGCAGGCCAAGGCCCTGACTCTGAGGCCACACCTCTGTCCCTGCAGGACGCCGGCCTCCCCTCAGGCCAGGCGCCCGCCGCCACAGTCAGCCCTGTGCCCCAGCCAGGGGACACGGACAGGACCTCACACCAGGGCCCTGATTGTGAGGCCACACCTGTGTCCCTGCAGGACGCAGCCCTCCCCTCAGGCCAAGGGACCCCTGCCAAGGCCAGGCCTGAGACCCTGCAGGTAGATGTAGGCTGCGTGCCAGGGATCGACCCTGTGGTCACTGCAGCCCAGCAGGAAGGACGAGTGACCTCGGAACTGGGGCCAGCACCCGAGGAGAGGGACACAAGCTGCACGGGAGGCCTGGAGCCTCCAGCCTGGGACCAGGCCCAGCTGGATGGACTGGAGCCAGCTGCAGACGCCGGGGTGCCCTGGACCTCATGGGACACCTCCAAGCCTGCCACGGAGGCCCTAGACTCCCCCAAGCCTGCCACAGAGGCCACAGACCCCCTTGAGGCCCTGCAACACCCCAGGCCTGCCACAGATGCCGTGGAATGCCCTGGCTCTGACACGGAGGCCACAGATTGCCCCAAGCCAGTCAGGGAGACCACAGAATGCACAGAGCCTGCCACGAAGGCCACGGAATGTCCACCATCTGTCACAGAGGATACAGAATGCCTGGAGTCTGGCACAGAGGCCCCGGAACATTCCAAGCCTTCCATGGAAGCCCCAGAATGCCCAGAACATGCTATGGAGGTCCCAAAATGCACCAAGCCTGCCAATGAGGCCCTGGAATTCCTTGAGCCCACCTCAGAGGCTCCAGAATACCCTGAGTCTGCCACAGAGGCCCTAGAACATTCTGAGCCTGCCCTGGAGACCCCGGAACGTTTTGAGCCTGCCATGGAGGTCCTGGAATGCCCAGAGCCTGCCATGGAGGCCCCAGACCATTCTGAACCTGTCACAGAAGCCCCGGAATGCCCAGACCCTGCCACGGAGGCCCTGGAACATTCTGAGCCTGCCACGGAGGCCCCAGAAGACCCAGAGCCTGCCACGGAGGCCCCGGAACATTCTGAGCCTGCCACGGAGGCCCCGGAATGCCCAGAGCCTGCCATGGGGGCCCCGGAATGCCCAGAGCCTGCCATGGAGACCCTGGAACATTCTGAGCCTGCCACGGAGGCCCCAGAAGACCCAGAGCCTGCCACGGAGACCCCAGAACATTCTGAGCCTGCCACGGAGACCCCGGAATGCCCAGAGGCTGCCACGGAGGCCCCAGAACATTCTGAGCCTGCCACAGAGGCCCCAGAACATTCTGAGCCTGCCACGGAGACCCCGGAATGCCCAGAGCCTGCCATGGAGACCCCAGAACATTCTGAGCCTGCCATGGAGGCCCCAGAACTTTCTGTGTCTGCCACAGAGGCCCCAGAAGCTGCCACGGAGGCCCAAGAACACTCACAGCCTGCCACAGAGGCCCTCAAATGCCCCAAGCCTGCCACAGAAGCTCCAGAACTTTCTGAGCCTGCCACGGAGGCCCTAGAACATTCAGAGCCTGCCACAGGCCCCCCTGGGTCTGCTATGGAGGCCACAGACCCACCCAAGCCTGCCTCCATTAGAGAAGAAGTAGCTGAAGGTCTGTTGGCACCTAAGCAGGAAACCTGTGCCAGTGCCTGTGTTTTTGCTGGTGATGGGGCCAAGCCCCATTTTCCCCCAAAGGAGGACCCAGGGAGTGAGAATCGGGGGGCTGAAGGCCTCAGGTCAACACCCCACAGTGCTAGGAAGGCTCCTGGGGATAGTGGCCCAGAGGTACATCTTGCTGCTCACCCCAAGGTCGGTCACACATGGCCCCAGACCCCAGCAGAGGAGGGAAGAGCCAACCCTGAGCCCAGGTCTTCTGTTGCGGTGGCCTCAGAAACTGGGCTGGCTTCCTGCTCTGAGTCTCCCCCAAGGTCTGTGGCCAGGCCTGGCAGGGGCTGCCCCAAAGAGCCCGCTCCCACCACTCCAGCACCCTCTTGGCAGCTGGAGCTCATGCTGGGCCCAGGCAGTGGAGTGAGGGCTCAAGTAGCCCCTGGAAGTCCCAGCTTGTCCCCACCACAAGCCCCCGAAAGCCCTAACAGGGGTCTGCCCAGCATGATCCAAGACAGGCCCCTCAGCCCAGAGCCTGCTGTTCCTGGGGTCCCCACAGAGGCAGCCCCATGCCCCATGGCACCCCTTACCCCCTGCCCTTGCCAGGGACCCAGGGAAGACTCAACGGAGGGCAAGGAGCCCCCGGGCTCTCCCGGCCTCCAGCCACCACGTGCAGGAGCCCAGCAAGCAGTGGCTGCCTTCTCAGGAACCACAAAACCTCCTGGGGCTGGGCATCGAGTCAGCCTCCCACCCCACTCCCCCCTCCTCAGCCCCAAAACAGCCCCCACGGGGGACACCCATGCCAAAGACCAGGCTCGGCGGATCTCGCCCCCCTGCCAAGTGCCTCCTGGCCCTCGAGGGCTCCCAGCCGCCGAGCAACAGGATGACCAGGACAGCCTGGAGGAAGGTGAGGGGGGCCGAGGGGCCGGAGCACTGTCCCGAGCCAGGGGCCAGAGGGGGCAGGTGGGCAGGCCGTAGGGATGAGTTACGAGGCAGAAGCCGTCCTCACACGCACACGCCCCCACCCCATGCCCAGACTCGCCCCCGAGGGCTCCGGGATCCGGCCAGCACTCAGACAGCCACGGGGAGTCGTCGGCGGAGCTGGAGGAGCAGGACCTCTCGGGAGCGCAGACGGCACAGTGCCCGACCCAGGTGCTGGCCCGGGATGGGGGAGGCTGCAGCCCTGGGAGGGCCCCACCCCACCCTTCCTTGGGTGCTCAAACCCTGTCCTCCCCAGGCCCCAGCAGGCGGCAGCAGCGAGGAAACAGTGGCCAAAGCCAAGCAGAGTCGCAGTGAGAAGAAGGCCCGAAAGGTGGGTAGGGTCCTGCCAGGGCCACTCCCCCGGGAACGGGCGTGCTGTGTAAGGGGACCCCTCACACCCAGTGGCTGACAGATGCCACCGGTGGGGCCATCAGGTCGTGAAACTGCTGGGGCCAGAGCACCATTGAGACCATGCCCACAGCTGGGGTCCGGTATCCCACCCTACACCTGGGGGTCGGGTGTCCCCACAGGCTCTACCCAGAGCCCACAGAGGGTCCCCTAGAGTTGGTGGCAGAGTCCTTGTTCTCCCATCAGTGTGCTCTCTCCCGGGCCTACCCGCTCCTCCCCACCCCAGCCTGGGACCCCCAGGCCGATGCCCAGGTCTGAGCCCCCCGTCCCCCAGGCGATGTCCAAGCTGGGCCTGCGGCAAGTCCAGGGGGTCACCAGGATCACCATCCAGAAGTCCAAGAACATCCTGTTTGTCATCGCCAAGCCTGATGTCTTCAAGAGCCCGGCCTCGGACACCTACGTGGTCTTCGGCGAGGCCAAGGTCTGGCCGGCTGCAGGGGTGGGGTGGGGACCTGGGGCATGGGCTGGGCTGACCGCTGTGCCCCTGCAGATCGAGGACCTGTCCCAGCAAGTGCACAGAGCTGCTGCTGAGAAGTTCAAAGTGCCCACAGAGCCGTCCGCCCTGGTCCCCGAGTCTGCGCCTGGGCCTCTGGTGAGGCCTGGGTGTGAGGAGGAGGAGGAGGAGGAGGAGGAGGAGGAGGTAGGAAGCAGGGACACGGGGAGGGCTGGGGAGGCATCTCACGGCTTTTTCTGGGGTGGGGGCAGCCCCAGAACCTGCCGGCTTCCCCCCTCCAGGTGGATGAGGCAGGACTGGAGCTCCGTGACATTGAGCTAGTGATGGCGCAGGCCAACGTGTCGAGGGCCAGGGCCGTGCGGGCCCTAAGGGACAACCAGAGCGACATCGTCAACGCCATCATGGTGAGTGGCAGGCCCCCCTCGGCCCCCTGCTGCTGGCCCTGCCGGGCTCCTCCCCAGCCTGCTCTCTCTGTCTCCTCTCTCTGCAGGAGCTCACCATGTAGCCAGGAGCGCCCCGACCGCACAGCTCCGTCCCTGCCCCCGGCTCCGCTGCTCAATAAACAGGTGTCTCCGCACGGCCTCTGCTCTGGCTCCTCCGCGCTGGGCGCGTGCTCCGGCCAAATGGGATTTGTGGAGGGGCAGAGGGGCGGAGACGCTTCCTGCCTCCGAGCAGACTGTCCCAAAGGGTGGTGGTCTGGCCCCCCTTGGGGGGTGTGGCCTTCCGGTGGCCCCAGAGACTGAGAGTCCTCTCCCCACCATGTCCCCCGAGGGCGGGATCCGTCCAGTGACTCCAGAAGGTGGGGGGGTCCATCCCCCCCGGCCCCCACCGTGTCCACGGTGCCCACCCTGCCCCGAGACGGTGAGCAGGCACTCAACTGTGGCCCAAGCGTGGGCCTGGGGGCTGGGTTTGGAAAGGAACTCCCCAGACTCTCGGGCTCTGCAGCTTTAGCCAGGGAAAGCCATTTCCTGAGTGTGGGGAGGGGCAGCGACCAGTTCTTGGCCCTCCTGGCACCCAGCTCTGCAGTGGCCGTCCATGCTCTCCATGCTCCCTCTTCTCCAAAGTCCAGGGACCCACAGAGGTGGGCTCTTGGAGAGAAGGGAGCGGCTCCTGCCGTCTACACAGGACACTCAGAACTGGTTCCACAATCCATCCACCCTGGACTGCCTGCTACGGCTACTCACACCCAGGGTGGGCTGGCCCTGCCTGGATGACTTCAGCTCTTCCAGATGCTTCCAGAGCAGGCTGATTTGCATTCCTACCCCATTCCCCTTAGCTCTGCCGGCCTGGGTCCACGACCAGCTCCTGGACACCCCACGCCAGAACCAAGTCTGAGAGCCTTCCTCCCATCCTGACCTGCCCCTGGCCAAGAGCCAGATCCCACCTGGCCCCCCCCATAGCCTCACTGGGAGCCCAAGGCTCTGTCCTCCCTTCTCCGGGACACCGGCACCCCTCCACACTCAGTTAGGGGCTTCCCACACGTGTTGTCGGGGGTCTCCCAAGACAGAGGCACCTTCTAGGTAAGGAGGATGTCTCCAGGGCTACCCCTGCCTCCCCACGCGCCAAGGGCAGGGGAGGGGCCCAGCTCAGGGAAGATCTAGGAACACGGTGCCACACACCCCCCCCAGCCTTAAGCCCCCTGGAGACCAGGACCCTGGGCCCCTGGGCTCTAAGATGACATGCTTTTGGTGAGGGACTGGGTAACAAGTTTGCAGTGGAGACCACCTTGGTGGCAATGAGACTGAGGACTGGGGGACGCAGGTGAGAGGCCAAAGGCAGGCACCACACTCAGGAACCCAGAAGCCACTCCCAGGGGCGAGAACCTGACACTCGCACCAGCTCCCAGGCCCCTGCTGCCACCCCACGTCCATGCAGCAAAAGCCCCAATCCCGTCCTCCCGGTTTGCTGTGACGAGCACCAAAGGGCAGCCAGCCCCCAGGCCACAGCGCCTAGCCCAGACGTGTAGCCCCGGCTCCCACCCCGAGACCAGAAGCACGCTGGGACCAGAAATGAATTATTCACATCGCAGTAAACTTCTTTGAAGGTCTCTGAGAGTTTCGACAGGAACGTCGTGTGCAAAACCGAAAGGACCCCCGGGACCCCTCCTGGAGCGGGCCGCGGGCACCAGCGCCCGGGGCCGGTCCTTCACAGTAGAGGGCGCAGCGGCAGGCCCCTCCCGGCACCGTCAGGCCGAGTCCCGGTCCATGCTGCAGCCCAGAGCCTCGATGTCATTGCTGATGTCCGAAATCATGCGGTCCCACTCGTCCCCTTCCGAGGGCGCGGACTGGTCGTCGGAGCTGCCCGCGGCCCTGTTTCCGGTGCCCGTGGAGGCTGAACTCAGGGCCCGCCGGTACCTGCCAAAGCTGTCGGTGATGATGCCTCGGCCGTCCTTCACCCCGATGGTCTCGAGGAAGTTCTCGAAGTGCTGGCTGTCCTTCTCTGGGATGAAGGGCCGCAGACCTGTGGACACAGAGTGGGGCTGACGCTGGGCCTCCCATGGGGAGAACGAGTCTGCCCACCCGGCCTGCCCGCATCCAGCCCAGTTCGACGGGCACCACGGGCCCACCAGGTTCCAGCACTGCAACAGGTGTCTGACCCCATGTCCTCCCTCAAGGCTGGCGGAAGTCCACTCACAGGCCTGGATGCAGAACAGAAGGGGCCAGCTGACCTCTAGGGGCACCACCCACTTCTACAAGAATAAGCCAGAAAGGAACAGAGCTGGGGCTGGGGCCTGGGACCCCAGCCCTGGCTGCACTATCCCTGGTGGGGAGGCCACAGGGTCAGGAGGAGCTCAGACCGGACGCAGGCCAGGCCTCCTGCCCTACCTCCCAATGAGGGGCGAGCCCTTGGATGGCTGCTAAGGAGGGTATGACCCACCCCCTTGGATGGTGGGGGCAGGGCTCAGGAGCCTCCACCAGCCCCCATCAGCCGGTGGAGTCTCTAGGCTCAGCATGTGGGAGACACGGCCACCCAGTCACCAGGAGGGTGCGAGCAGGTGCAGCCTGGCCACCCTGCCCACCCAGCTCTCAGGGCCAGCATCCCAACGGCCAGTGCTTCTACCCAGAAACAGGGTCCACTTCTCTGCCCAGCAAATTGCTGGTCACCCACCGAAAGCCCCTCGAGAGCCACGCCCCCCTCCAGGAGCCCCATTCCATCCCCTGCTCCAGAAGCGAGGCTCTGGGCTTCCCCGCAGTCCGGCTCCCAACGGCAGCTCCCATCTGTCACTGGGAAGAGCTCTGGGCAGCGGATCCCCGGCGGAACCCCCCATGCCGCGGGCACCCCTGACACCTCGCGGGGCTCACCGAGCAGCAGGAACTTGCGGCTGTCCCCGTACAGCTGCCGCAGGTTGATGCAGAACTCGTGCACGGACGCCCCGTCGCGGTAGTCATGCAGCAGCGCCGCGAACTGCTGGATCTCCTGGGAGGACAGCTTGGTGCGCAGCTGCCCACGGCGGACAGGGGTGCGGCGGTGAGCGGCGCCCACAGTGCCCCCTGCCAGCCCACGCAGCGGCCCCCACTTGACCCGGGGCACCCCGGGGAGCGCGCCCGCAAGGAGCCCAGGGACACGTACAGAACCATGTGCGGGTCAGCAACGGTGGGCGGCGGGGGGGCGGGCAGCGGTTGACCCCCCACCCCTCCCCCGCGTGCCCGTGCCCGCCCCGCCCCGTCTCCGAGCCCGGCGGCGCGCACCGTCAGCATGTAGTCCTGCAGCAGCTCGGCGGCCGTGGCGCTCAGCTCGCTCTCGCTGGCCGTCTTGGCGTGCGGCGCCGTCTGCATGCAGAAGGACAAGGGCGACACGCCACCTGCGTGCGCGCACTCGGGGAAGGAGCTGCAAGGACAGAAGCGGTGGGCACGGGGCTCCCGCGCTCACCCTGAGGCCCAGGATCCCCGCCCCCCGCAGAGCTGCACTTCCGGCCCGGGGAGCCCGCGTGCGCGTGGGGGGCCGGCGGGGGCCGGCGGGGGGGCCAGGGACTCACAAAGCGCTGGCGTCCGTGTCGTACGGCTCCTTCACGTCCACCTTGGTGGAGGAGTCGTCTGCGCAGGGGGCGGGACACAGGCTTCGGGTTACCCGCGGGCGGAGGGGCCCCGAGTCCCCGGGCCCCACACTCCACTAGACGTGGGCCCTGGCGGGGGGCCTGCAGGCCTTCTTGGGCAGAGCCGCCTGTCCGCCGCGGCAGCCTCAGGCAGTCCCCCACCGGCTCCCCCTGCGGGCGTTCTCGACGGGCACCACCTGTCGCAGGTGTGGGCCCAAGCGCAACGCTCCAAATGGAGGACTGAAGGGCACTCCCCGAGGGCCAAGGATAAGACAAGGGCCACTTAGAGCTGCCGCTTGGTGTCCCGGGGCCCGGGTCACTTTGTCCCTTCTGCTCACTTCAGACGAGGAGTGGGATCCCAGAGGTCGGACAGCGTGCCCCACCGCTCGGGGTCGGCCGAGGGCAGAAGGTCGGAGGCAGGGCTGACCCCCAGCCTGGAGCCGGTGGGCTCCGCTCAGGCAGGGAGGCGGGACCCCGGCATGCTGAGCCCCTCCCACCCGCGAAGAGCCCGGGACACAGTCGCTACTCAGGAAACACTGGTCAGGGGACCTTAGGTCCACGTGACACAGTCTGTGGGAGGCACAGACACCATTCTGCACCGCTGCTGAGCTCGCGGAATTGGGGTGACCGGGAGCATGGGGCGCTCCTGGCGTGTGGAACACGGGGCTAAGGGCTCCGCAGATTCAGAGGAGGGGGCGGCTGCCACGTGCCCGCGCCCGGCAGCCTCGGTCCCAGAAAAAGCCCTTACCCAGTAGCTGTGAGGTCTGCGGGTTCCTCCCCCCCACACACACACCCCTCCCCCTGCCCCTGTTCTCAGGCAGGTGAAGGGACTTGAGCTGAGAAGGCGTCCCCGCCAGGGATGTGGTACAAGAAGGCACCAGGCTCGCCAGGGACATCAGCAGCACGGTGTGGGAACAAGGCACTGGCGCAAAGCCACAGGGATGGGACAGCATCACTGTGCACCCACACTCACGTACCACTGTGCAGGGATAGGTGGTGGGTGGGTGTCGAGGCCCCGTCGAAGATGGCTCTGTCCAGAAAGTCGATGGTGGACTCTGTGTACACGATCTGGAAGACCTGTCCCAGCAGGGAGCACAGCTCCTCTGCAGCGACCTGCCGTGGAGACAAAGCTGGGCCTTCCTGGGCAGCTTGCTGGCCCCCTGGCTCCTCAGATGCCCAACCAGCACCCGCCGCCCAGCGGGCCACGAGGGGACCAGCCCACAGCTGGGAGGCTCTCTGGACCCAAGGGGACCAGGTGTGTCCACCACCAGCCCTCCTGTCCCCCCAACCTGCCCACCAACATGCTGCCTCCGCTGCGGCCCCAGGCTCGGGGACGGCACTCCCAGCCGGGAACACGGCTCACACACGTGCTGTTAAGGCAGGGTCCCCTCTGATACTGGGCAGTTACCAGAGGGGCCTGCAGTGAGGACAGGGTGGGGAGGCAGCCCCATGAGGAAGAACTGCCCGCTAGAGGGAGGGCAGAGCCAAGGACGCGCAGTGATCAAAGGGTCCCCGAGGCAGGAGGTCCCCCCTACAGTCTTTTAGACAAACTACACACAAGGAAGGGCCTGGGTCAGGAAGTGGGAGAGACCAGGTCAGTGTGGGAGGGGCCTGGGCTGTGGGGCGGGCCTGTGGTGGGCGGGGCCTGGGTCAGCAGTGGGAGGGGCTTGGGGTGCGGATATAGGAAGAGCCCAGACAGGTTGTGGGCAGGACCTGAGCCTGAGTCCCAAGTCCCGCCCTCTACTCACCTTGCTCTCTGCTGCGAGGATCACCAGGCAGCAGGCCTCCACCGGCCCCACTCCGCTCTCTGACAGCGAGACTGCGGTGAGGCCTCTGGAACTTTCCGCACACAGACTCTGGCTGGGGGAGATGCCAGGGTCCTGGGCTGAGAAGTCAACAGCACAGCAGGTTAGGGCAGCTGTGGGAGCTCCACAGCCCGGGGCGGGCAGTGCCCACCTGGCTCAGGCGTGCCCCCTCGCCCCCTCCGCTAAGCTGCCCCCGCCCTCACGCTCCCTGGAGGCTGCCCTGGCTGTGCTCCCTGAGAACCACCGCTCTGCAGGACCCGCCGGCATCCGCCACGGACGGTGAGCAGATCCCAGGCTAGGACATGAAACGCCCAGTAGCCAGCTGCTTTCGGTTGACACACGAGACAGGATCCCCAGGGTTCCACTCGCAGGAACCATGGGCACGAGCACAAGCCTGACAGATGGGGACCCCAAGGGGTCTGGGCCCCAGGGTGTGAGGGGGCACAGTCCAGGACAGGATGTGGACCGGGCGAGCCCCGGCCCACGTTTCTAAGGCTCCACGCTTCCTCGGACAAGGGCAACCTCAGGCCTGCCCGCAGCAGGGAGGGAGGCTTCTGTCCTGGGAAGCGCAGGCACATCAGCTCAGCAGACCAGGAGCGGACCAGAGGGCGGGGAGCGGACCCGGGAGCAGACCAGACCGCGGAGCGGACTGGGGAGCAGACCGGGGAGCAGGGGCGGGAGTGAGGCCTCCCATGCCGCGCTGGCTACCTCCAGATGCACCCCTGAGGCTCAGACGTGGCTGGGAGCCAGCAACCAGGCAGAAGCCACCCTCGGGACAGGTGTGCCTGCAGAGCCTGGGCCGGGCACCCTGTGAGCCCCACGAACGCCATCAGACCCAAGGACTGCATTGCCCCCCGCAGCCACGGGCCCCGGCACTGAGCACGTGAAATGCGGCAAGTCCCCACGGTGCCGTGTGCGGTGTCTCAGGGGCAGCACAAAGAAGATGGGGGACATCTTGTTAATGACAGTCACGTTGGTACGCGCGGACACAAGGGCTAAATATATTCGTAACACTCATTTCGCTTGCTTCCTTCTCCTTCTCCTTCTCCACGGCTACTACAACGCTTTAGGTAGCTCCGGGGCTGTTCTCAGGTCAGGACAGCCCCACACAGCGAGGATGGGCTGTGTCTGATAAGCTCCCATCTGGGCCTTGACCGCAGTCCCCCAGCTGTCCCCACAGCCGTGGCCTCAGACTCCTACACCCACGGAGACACCCTCCTCAAGATGTCTGCGCTGTCCGCTCCACCCTGCCCTGCCTGGACAGCAGGTCACCCGCCACACAGAGCCCCTGCAGCCAGCCCCAGCCCCGTACAGCCTCCCCACCCCGCACTGCCCTGGGCACCGGTCAAGCCTGGACCCGCAGAGGCACGCACGTGGGGCTGCGCGTGGTGGGCACTTAATAAACATCAGGGTCACGGCCAGTGAGCTGTGTGCCACCACGTGCGTGACCTCACACGCGGCACGCTGGGGCCACGGGGCCACACAGACTCAGGGTCGCAGGACCTCGCTTTCCCAGCCACCCACGAAAATGAGGAAGACGCCCAGGACACAGGGATTCCTTCTCTCCCTTTAACCCCGAAGCCCTCAGAGCTCTGGGTCCCCGTTTTCGTCTCATTTCGCAAAGGATCTCCTATGGAGCTCATTCTCTCCCTCCAAAAAATTTGCTACCCCTTTCTTAGCAATTCCCTCCAAAGATGAATGCGGATATGCGTCCCACCACACAACAAACCTGCGGGGGGCCCAGCCCTCCACCCACCGGCTTCCATGCCTGCAGGTGCTAGTCAGAGGTCAGTCTTCCCATGGTTTTCTGTCCCTCAGGATGCCTCAGACCTCAGGCCTCCTGTGGGACCGTCCACTTCCCAGGCTGGCTGGCCCCACCACTGCCCCACTGGGGCCCCCGCCGGTCACTCAAGCTCTGTGCTCTGGTAACTCCATCTGCGAAGTGGGAGAGTGCGGCCCTCCTGCCCGCTGAGCTGGACGTCACACCAGGTAATCCACGTCCGGCCTTCCTGCCAGTGAGCCCTTTCCATACATTCTGTATGTTAAAACACTTCGTGTTGTTCAAACTTATGTAATGTCCGTGGTCCAACAGCAGATGTTCGCCAAAGGGCAATGAGGGGGAAGTAGAGCACGGAGGGGTGTGTGGGCCCGCGGCAAGCCCACTGGATTTGTGCCGTGGAAGCCCCCCAAGCTCAAGGGGTCACGTGAGGAGGCTCACCAGGGCCCGGCTCTTAGGGAATCTCTCAGATCCGCCATGGTCTGACAGACAATTTCCCCTCTGCACCACCTGAGCCCCCCGTGGCCCCTGTCACGGGTGCTTTGGCAATGGACGGCTTCAGGACCCCAAAGGGCCCGAGAACACCCAAAGGAGCCCGGGACAGTACCAGTCTCAGAAGCGCCAGCCTCAGAAGCCTCAGAAGCCCAGAGGGATGTGACATCTCTCCCCATGGCTCAGTGATTTGGTACCAGGCAGAGGCCGTGGCACTGGGGGTGGGAAGGGGCCGGCCCACCCGGAGAGCCCAGGAGGCAGGGTGGCAGGGAGGACCAGGGGCAGAGGCCTGGGGGCCAGCGCCTTGTTCAAGATTCCTCCTGACTCTCTTACAAGGACATGCTCAGCACATCTCTTGGACCTGGCGCTCCGCGATGGCCCGGTCTCCTCTCTGAACCCGGCTTTGGGACGCCTGTAGCCCAAGGCAGGGCCCGCACACTGGCAGCACCGAGCGAAGGCCCACTCTTGGGTGGCGGCCGGCCCAGTGCGGAGAAACTGTGTCCATAGCTCCCCTGAATTCCCAGGCTCACCCCCGAGGATGCCCGCCCCGGCCCCAGCCCCTACCTGTCTTCAGGACCACCAGGTGTGAGGCGTCATCCCGCACGTAGGACACGGCGGCGATGTCGTGGATGGGGACCCTGAGGATGGTGTCCTCCCCATCCCGCCAGGCCAGCTTGACGTTGTAGGCAGACAGGCTGATGACAGCGTCGTGCTCCTGGGTCAGGTGTCCGGGGAGCTGGTGGGCTCTCTGCTGGGGACCGCAGCGCGTCAGCCACAGGCCGGCCGCAGCCCCCGGGCTCCCTGCCCCATGCGCAGCCCCGTACCCCACTGCGGCTGCACTAGGCCCACCCCGGGCGCTCTGCGGCCTCCACGGCTGCCCTCACCCAGACCGGTGGGGTGTGCTCTACGCTCTGGACAACGTGAATTCTGAAAACAGCCCAAAAGCACAAGGAGCAAAGTGCAGAGAAGAAAGCTCACATTCAGACAGGTTTGGTCTTGACGGCCCGAGAGCCAAGCACACCCATGACACAACGGGACGGGGTCGTCCCTGTCATCCCTCCCAGCCAGGAAGGCCCAGCGTCAGAGGACCAAGCGCTGGGGTCAGAGTGTGAGGGCAGAGGTCAGAGTTAGGAGGGGCCACAGGCCAGGGGTCAGAGGTCAGGGTCAGAAGGATGGGGTTACCTTTGCATTGTCTATGAAATGCAGGATTTCGGTCCTACTGGAGGGATTCAGGTATCCCGGTATAGACGTCAACTGACCTAAGTACTGCAACAAAGTGAGGAGAGACGCTGCCATGAGGAAGGGAAGATCGGCCCGGACCATCGTGGACACACAGAGGACGCAGCCTGGCCTCCGCCTTCCACCACCAGACCTTCTGGCCTGGCTTGGGGGTGGGGGGCCTCCACTGGGAAGCGTGCTCTGAATTCTTGGAAAAGTGTCCCCGCTCAGGAGACACTGCCACACTTCCCGCTGTCCAGCACCATGAGGACGGTTATCCCTAACGGGGCCCCTTCCTCAAGGAGAATGAGCTCTGCCAGGGACGGAAATCCCCAGCTCCAGCCTAAAGGGGGGAAAGGGGGAACAGAATGAGAAGCATGCGTGGCCGTCACGGTCCAGGGGCGCAGGCTCCCGGGAGGACTGAGACAGACTGACCACAGGACGGGGGAGCGCACCCTCCCCACACGTCATCCTCCAGCCAGGTAAGCACACGGCCTCACGCGGAAGGCCCGTCCGCCGCCACCCCTCTCACCCTGTACATCACGTCCAGCTGACGGCAAGACACACTCATGGGCAAGATGCCGTCTGAACACACAGGGCAAGCGCCAGAACCAGACGCAGACACGGCAGGGCTGTTCTCAGGGGCCACCGGACCCAAAGTTCAAAGCAGTGGCATTGGGGTGCCTGGGTGGCTCAGTTGGTGAAGCATCTGTCTTTGGCTCAGGTCATGAATTCGGGGTCCTGGGATCGAGTCCTGCGTCAGGCACACTCCCTGCTCAGTGGGGACTCGGCTTCTCAACCTCTCCCTCTGCCTCCCGCTCCCCCGGCTTGTGCTCTTGCTCTCTCTCTCAAATAAGTAGATAAAATCTTTAAAAAAATAAAATTTATAAATAAAGCAGTGGGATTAATGTGCTAAGGGTTCTAACAGAAAAAGTGGACATCGTGCTTCGTGCGTAATGTAAGCAGAGAGCTCGAAACGCTAACCATGGACCGATGGGAAATGCCAACAATCCACCATAACAGAAACAGACTGATGGTTCCATTGATGGACACATCTGCAGGCCGGACACAGCCAAGGGACGGGTCAATGGGCGTGCAGACGTGTCAAGGTATGTCAACAGAAACTTCCCAAAATGGAAAGCAAAGAGGGAAAAGTATGAAGAAGATGGAACAGGATGTCCAAGAACGGTCACTAAGTTCCAAAAGTGGGGCCAGGCGTGTGGTGGATGACCAGAAGCACTCATGACAAACGGGCTCCAGACCACAGATCCGGGGACTCCGAGAGCACCAAGCAGGACACACACACAGAGAAAAGGGAATAAAAACAGAAGCAGCCCAATGCCTGCACATCAGAATCCAGCTGTAAACCACCACAGAGAGAACCCTGCAGTAAGCCCCAGGACAAAAGCACCTTACCCGCAGAACAAGGGTAACAAAGGTCAGACTGGGGCACCTGGGGGGCTCAGTCCGGTGAGCAGCCAGCTCTGGGTTTGGGCTCAGGTCATGAGCTCAGGGTCATATGATCCAGCCCCGCATCAGGGGCTCCAGACCCTCTGTGGCGCCTGCTTAAGATTCTTTCCCTCTCCCTCTGCTCCCCCACCCCCCAACTTATACGAGCTCACTCTCTCACTCTCTGTAAGTAAATAATTAAATCTTTTTTTTTTTTAATAAATAAATTAAAAAAAAAAAAAATAAAGTGACTCAGTCGTTAAGCCTCTGCCTTCGGCTCAGGTCATGATCTCAGGGTCCTGGGATCGAGTCCCGCATCGGGCTCTCTGCCCGGCGGGGAGCCTGCTTCCCATCCCCCTCTGCCTGCCTCTGCCTACTTGTGATCTCCGTCTGTCAAGTAAATAAATAAGAATACTTTTAAAAAAAAGAATGATATTGGACTTTTCTTCAGAAACTACGAAGTGAGAGAGGAATGAAACCCTGAAGCTTTGGTGGAAACCCGTCCCCCTGCAATCTGTGCCCAGGGACCCAGTCCTTCAAGCAACGGAGAAATAAAACCTTTCTCCAACAAACACAATTTGAGGGATTTTAATACTGATTGATTGATCTGAGAGAGAGTACGAGTGTGTGCACACACTCTTGATCTCAGGGTTGTGAGTTCAAGCCCCATGTTGGGCACAGAGCTTACTAAAAATGTTTTTTAATTTTAACTTTTTTATTTAAAAAAATTTGGGGGGGGGTGTGCCTGGGTGGCTCAGTGGGTTGGGCCTCTGCCTTCAGCTCAGGTTATGATCCCGGGGTCCTGGGATGGAGACCCGCATCGGGCTCTCTGCTCAGCGGGGAGTCTGCTTCCTCCTCTCTCTGCCTGCCTCTCTGCGTACTTGTGATCTCTGTCAAATAAATAAAATCTTAAAAAAAAAATTTTTTTTTTTAAGTTTTATGTAAGTAATCTCTACACCCCACTGCGGCTCAAACTCATGACCCTGAGATCAAGAATTGTGCATCCGAACAACCGAGGCAGCCAGGAGCCCCTAAAATTGTTCTTTAAATTCAAGACCCAAGTACATGTTGCCCAAGAAAAGCCACTTTAAAGAGCGACCTTACATGATGAAAGTGGTCCTCCGAGAAGACGTGACAATGCTTCCCACGTACACACCTGACCACAGAGCATCAACACACACAAGGCGAAGACAGAGCTTCAAGGAGAGAGAAATGAATCCACAACGGGGACTGGGGACTTCAGACGCCCCCTCTGTTGGAAATGCACCGACCCAGCAGGCAGAACGTCAGCGAGCACACAGGGGAGCCCGACGCCCTCGGCCAGCAGGATGTAACCAACACCTACAGACTACTTCATCCCGTAGCGCAGAACACACGCTCCTTCAGCTCACGTGACCATTCATCGTGAAACAGCTCGTTCTGGGCCATAAAACACATCGTAACAAATTTCAAAGCCTGGAAACCGTACACAGTATGTTCCCAAATCACAGTGCAATTTTTTGAAAGACACATCTGTAGGGGCGCCTGGGTGGCTCAGAAGGTGAAGCCTCTGCCTGGGGCTCAGGTCATGACCCCAGGGTCCTGGGATAGAGTCCCGCTTCGGGCTCCCTGCTCAGCCGGGAGCCTGCTTCTTCCTCTCCCTCTACTGTTCCTCCTGCTTGTGCTCTCTCACTCTCTCTGCCAAACAAATAAATAAAATCTTTAGGGATGTAAAATCTTTAGGGGTGCCTGGGTGGCTCAGTCAGTTGGGTGTCTGCCTTCTGCTTGGGTCATGATCTCAGGGTCCTGGGATCGAAGCCCATGCTTCGATCTCAATGGGGAACCTGAATAAATGAATAAAATCTTTAATCCATTATCAGAAAGTTGCTTTCATGAGTATAAAATCAGCAAAACAAAAAACAAAAGCAACCAAGGAAGAAAGACACAACTACCAAAACTCACATAAAAAGAAAGATAATTTGAGTAGGTGCATGATCTATTAAAGGAAATGAATTAATAATTAATAACCTTCTAAAACAGCACCAGGCCCACACAGGTTCACAGGTGAATTTGACCACACACTAAAGGAGGAAACGATACCAATTCTCTATAATCTCTTCCAGAAAATAGAAACAGAGAAAACATCAACCCCAATATCTAAGTCAAAGGTACTACAAGAAAAGAAAAATCACAGATTAATATTTCTCATAAACATAAATGTGAAAATCCTCAACAAAATACTAGCAAATCGAATCCAACGAGGTATAAAGATATAAATTATATAAGTTAACAAATATACACAACGACCTGGTTGCGTTTACCCCAGGGAGGCAAGGCCGATTCAAAATTCAGAAACAAGTTAATGTAATCCATCACGCACCAACACTCTAAAGAAGAAAAATCGTATGATCACATCAACAGATGCAGAAAAGCATTTGACAACATCCAATGCCCGTTCATGACAAAACTCTCATCAAACGAGGAACAGAAAGAAACTTCCTCAAACTGATACAGAATGTGTACAAAAACCTACAGCCAGCATCCTAATTAACAGTGAGACGCTTAAAGATTGCTTCAGATCAGGAGAAATCAAAGCATATCCCCTCTCACCACTGCTGTCCAGCACTCCGGGAAGTCCCAGCTAATGCAATGAGACAAGAAAAAGAATGAAAAGGTACGGATTGGGAGGGAAGAAACCCAACCATTGTGCTCGAAGATCCTTTCTCCGACTGAGGAACCAAACAGGTTCCTCTGGGGATTACTGAGTGCAAGGAAGGTGGACACAGGCCCGACTCGGTGCACCAGGGCTGTGCCAGGCCACCGCCTGCTCACACGAGGAGGAACGGGCTGCAGTGCACCCAGAACACAGCAGCAGGCACAAGTCAAGAGGCTGAAACTTCAAGAAAGCTTTCCTCAGCAACTGTCCGTGTGTGCCGGGCAGCTCTGTCGGGAGACACACACTCATTCTGGAAAGTTCTATATTTCATCCTCTCTCAGTTGGGGGCTGAGGAAAGGGAATAAAGCTAAGCTGTGCATTGGCTTCCCCACTGTCTCTAGGGCTGGGAATCTCCCCCTGAGAGAGCGGTTTAAGAGTAAATAAGCGGCACATGTAACCGCTGGCTCATACTTAGCTTCTCACCAATAAACATTCCAGAACGTTCCCACCGAGCTGCAGCTGGCCAGTGCCTTTCTATCCGCTTATGTGCACGTGTACACCAAATGCAGATGCCTGTTCACACCGATCCGTATTAAGTTTCATCTATTCTCACAGTTGCAGATTCCAGACTTGCTACAAAGTTATGATGACCGAACAATGTGGTGCTGGCGTAAGGACAGACACACAGACTGATGGGGTGGAACACAGTCCAGAAAGAGACCCTCACATACGTGGTCAGCTGATGTCTGACAAGGCAGCCAAGACCCTTGATAGGGAAACGACAGTCTTTTCAAAAACGGTGCTGGGAAAACGAGAGGTCCACACAGGGAAGAAAGAAGATGGTCCCTTACCTCACACTGTCTACAAAATATAATTCAAACGGATGAAACGTCTAAATGTAACACCCAAAGCTCTGAGTCTCAGAAGAAAACTGAGAAATAGCTTCATGACATTGGATTTGGCA